AATCAGGACCCAGATCCTAACACAGGGGTTTGTTGAGCTGCCTTCTGAAAACCACTGGTGCTATACCTGGGAATATTCGGGGTTCCCTGGGGATTCCCTAGGGAGATGGTGTTGGACCGAGCCAGTTCTGATTCTTTAGAGGTTAAGGCCTGTCGACCCAAAACCCAGTAGTTTTACATAGTTCTATGTTATTTTGGTTCATTTTGGATAAGTTTGGGATATTTTCAGGGGAAGCCTCCCTAAAGAATCAGGACCCAGATCCCAACACAGGGGTTTGTTGAGCTGCCTTCTGAAAACCACTGGTGCTATACCTGGGAATATTCGGGGTTCCCTGGGGATTCCCTGGGGATTCCCTGGGGAGATGGTGTTTTAACAGATTTGGAAGGGGACCGAGCCAGTTCTGATTCTTTAGAGGTTAAGGCCTGTCGACCCAAAACCCAGTAGGTTTACACAGTTCTATATCATTTTGGTTCATTTTGGATAAGTTTGGGATATTTTCAGGAGAAGTCCCTCTAAAGAATCAGGACCCAGATCCCAACACAGGGGTTTGTTGAGCTGCCTTCTGAAAACCACTGGTGCTATACCTGGGAATATTCGGGGTTCCCTGGGGATTCCCTGGGGAGATGGTGTTTTAACAGATTTGTAAGGGGACCGAGCCAGTTCTGATTCTTTAGAGGTTAAGGCCTGTCGACCCATCAAAACCCAGTAGTTCTTCACAGTTCTATGTTATTTTGGTTCATTTTGAATAAGTTTGGGATATTTTCAGGGGAAGCCTCTCTAAAGAATCAGGACCCAGATCCCAACACAGGGGTTTGTTGAGCTGCCTTCTGAAAACCACTGGTGCTATACCTGGGAATATTCGGGGTTCCCTGGGGATTCCCTAGGGAGATGGTGTTGGACCGAGCCAGTTCTGATTCTTTAGAGGTTAAGGCCTGTCGACCCATCAAAACTCAGTAGTTTTACATAGTTCTATGTTATTTTGCTTCATTTTGGATAAGTTTGGGATATTTTCAGGGGAAGCCTCTCTAAAGAATCAGGACCCAGATCCCAACACAGGGGTTTGTTGAGCTGCCTTCTGAAGACCACTGGTGCTATACCTGGGAATACTGGGGGTTCCCTGGGGATTCCCTGGGGAGATGGTGCTTTAACAGATTTGGAAGGGGACCGAGCCAGTTCTGATTCTTTAGAGGTTAAGGCCTGTCGACCCATCAAAACCCATGCTTTTTTATCGCTTTCTTTTGTATTCCCAAGTGTTACTAGATTCATTGGCCCTGCATTTTCTCTAAAGAATCTAGACCCAGTGAATCACCAAGGAGGAAGAGAGGAAAAAAACATTCTTTAGAGGGAGAGCTGGTGGCAGCACCGATCAGATTTAGATTCTTTAGAGATCTTTAGAGCTCAAGAAAGGATACTCAGAAGAGCCCAGAAGATTCAATACGTGTTGTACATGTTTTTGCCATTGTTTGGCCATGTGTAGCCCAGGAGAATTTCCGAATGATTTCACAGAGAGGATGATCGAGAAATACTCGGAGAAGGTGAATGACGATGGTTTCTTCCTAGGGGTAGCAGATGCCTTTCTTTTTGCAGTGAAGCAGGGCAAGAGTTTAGCCATTGCAGTTGATCCTCAGTCTGATCGGGCCTTGGAGGTTCTCAGTGCCAGAGATTATCTGTGCGGGATTCTTCCTGAAAACATCCAGATCGAACGGAGAGAAGGTGACGACTTGGATACCAAGAGTCCTGATTCTTGGTGCATAGTCAGCTGCGACGCCAAGTTTGCTCAAGAAGGTGAGCGGAATCACTACGTCCCAGCCATTTTCAAGGATCAGCTCACTCAGGACGAGTGGTTTGATCGCACTGTTTTGGGCCAACGGTCCACTCGGAATGAGTTGAGGGAGAAAGAGCAGGCATTGAGGACGCTTGATTCAGACCTATAGTGGATGCCACATCATGCCTCTGTTCCATTTTTATTGAAATATTCTATGAAGGATCAAAGAATTGGAGCTGATTTCATTAGGGAAACACAAGGCCACCAAAATGCCTGCTACATTTTAATGTCTGTATTTTGCTATGCCCGGCAAAACGATGAACGGAGTTATTGTATGAATCTATGTAAAATTTTGCTACTCTCATCATGTCTAGTGTCAGTTTTGTTGCGGCTTTTGAGCCATGTTTTGGCCAGCACTTGAAAAATTGAGAAGGTCATTTTAGGGTTCCAAAATTGCAAAAAAATGCTTCCACAACATAGTCCTCTAAAGAATCATACCCGGCTGCCCTTCATAGAGAACGCGACCCCATGCAAACAGGCAAAGTTAATTCTCTAAAGAATCAAGCAGAAATTGACAACCCGGGTTGTCTTATTCTTTAGAGGAAATTCCAAGGGGGATCTTCAGAATATCACCTTCTCAACCTCGACCAAAGGAAAGTTCGCCAACAGTTCCTAGCTTTTGCCTACTTTTCAGCAGTCCTTTAAAACTATGCCCAGGAAGTTAAAAATGAACATGAAAACACAAAAGCTTGTGCTGAAATCATCAGAAAAGGGGAATATACATATATACATATATACCTTGACTCTCCAACGACCCTGAATTTTTGGTGTCTTTCAAGAAAAAAATGCATTTTTTCCAAAAGTACTTTTTTTGAAATCAAGTACTGTTTTTCGCATGTTAGTGATGTTCACTCATGGAGGTACAGCTGAAACTGTGGAAATCAAATACATTTGCCACATTGCCAACTTGCAACTCATTGTTGCAGGTGCCATTTGTGTTTTGGCTGCTTGAAGGTGCAGGAGCATAGATTTCCAAACTATTGGTTCTCTTTTACGTGTTGGATGCCATGGTTTCGATCTTCCTTGCTTTGGGTTTTGGACGTGCTTTGCTCTTTCATTATTGCACGCATGAGGGTAGGTCTCAACACTCACTTGCGGACATGCAGGTGCATTGCTCAATTTTGGTGACAACTTGTCCTTGGAAGATTTGCCCATACAACGCAAACATGCAAAGGCCTTTTTTTCTTCAAGCGTACCTTTTTTTTGCTGAGGGCCTTCCGGACGGCGTCCGAAAGTACGGAAAAATGCGTCCAACGTACGGAAATATCCGTCCGGCTTGGACCCGTCCGAGCACCTTTTTTTTCACGTCCGTCCGTCCATCCGTCAAAACTGTTTCAGCAGCTGGCACCACAAGATCAGGGCGAGTGGATGTGCTCAAACCCCGTGTATATTTTCGCATAAGTGTCGCAATGTGCAAATGTTTGTCCCGGCAGCTCATCATTTAAGGTTTTATATATCGACACGAATTGTGGATCCAAAGCTGTTCAGCCATGAAGTTTTAGTTATGCGCCTGGGTCTGAATGATGTGCGAGGGTGCCTGATCCAACATCAGACAGGACAAGCACAAAACGCTCACATGATTTAGCTTAGTAATGCTTAGTGTATATAGCCAGCACCTGCTTGGAAGATAAAAGGCCTTTCTTTTGCATGAAACGACCCCAAAAAGTATCAAACGTATCCAAAAAAGAGGTGTTTTGCAAACGGCCCCAAAAACGAAGGGTAGTGGAGACTCCAGGTATATTAGCGGATTTCAATCCAATTATGCACAGGAGAGGTACACTAAGCAATCATGCCATTTCAGGATGTGTCGAAAAATCAAGCGAAAAAAAACTCATCTTCATCCACTTGTTTATCATCATTATCCCGATCAAAATTCTTGTTTTCACTGGTAAACCGGGTAAACCCCAATTTCAGACCCCCCCCAAAAAAAAAAATAAAAATATATATATAAATAAATATAAGAAATATTGAAGAAATCATCAGTATTTCAGTAAAGGTTTCTCTTTTCCATCCTTTTGGGGAAACTATAAATACGTTTTCTAGAGGGAGCGAATGACTACTCCTGCTATCATATCTCAGGGTGATTTTAATGAGGATGATGAGTGCATAAAAATATAAAAACTAAAATTGCTCCAAGATTCAAACAAATGAACAACAAACTCCAAGATATTTTTTTATTATTTTAATCAAACGGCATGGACTTTTCAGCCTGGACATGGACTTCTCAGCGCCTGGGCATCCTGAAAGTTGATGTCAGCCAGGTTGGTGCCCACACCATCTCCCACCTAACCAGGCCAAAGCGGCTAGCCGGCGAAGTGGCTAAGCGGCTAAGGACATCCCGGGTGGACCCAGAATTTTTGAGATTGATGGGAAATGAACAGGACAAATGATGGTTTAAGCATCAAACATGCTGCTTTAAGAATAAACAGGGGTTGAAGAAGTGAAACATGGAAATGGGTGTGTCTGAAAATGGCGAATATGTAAAAAATAACACGTCTATCGTCTATCGTTTCATGATCAAGCATCGAAATTTCTGGTGCTCAATTTTCAATGAAACCTTGGGCCAGCAATTCCCTATTGCTATTTCCTAGATGGTTGGTGGTCTCTTCAGGGCATCATCCTGGTCCTCATCGCCACCAGCATCTAGCATCCTAAACGTGAAAACATATTGAGGAAGAACACTATGTGGTGGGAAACTCTTCTGGTAGTAGCTCCTTGGCACCAAGTTGAATTGAGAATATTGCATGATGGTAACGCAAAAAAAAACACTCACACTTTTTGACATATCGTATTATATGATATGCATACCATCCCTTTTGGATTTATGATAAGTTGGGGATGGTTTACTATTCCTTAACTCACATTTTATCTGGGTAAACTTATAGTATTCCATTAACCTGAAAAATGCATCCCGTCTTCTCTTTGCGACAAGGCCATTTGGAGATGATTCCCGTAGCTCCAAATGGCCAAACAGCTACGCCAGGGCGCAGTCACCAACTGCGTCACAGCGGTGCGGTCGTTCGCCCCGACAACTCGAAGCAGCTCCTGTCGTGGCAATGGGGCCATGGATTGGACATGGATGGCCATGGGGCTTGGAGGATTTGCCGTGATTGAAGGCCGTCAGTGGGGGTGAATCTCCCATTTGTGGATAGGCAGGCCTTTCTTTAAGGGAACAGCTCTAGGAGGGTGAAAGTTTTGAGAGTATTCATTCTTATGAGGTTCTTTCAGCCATGCGCATTTCTTGACCAGTTGCTCGATGCCATGAGAACCGTTACTTCTACTCTTGCATCTAGTGAGACCAAAAGCCGCCTGCAAGATGCAAAGGTTCAGACCTATGAGCAGGTACTCAGTCCAACACATGTCCATGCTCCGCAAGTGACGCATGGTGACTTTCCTCACATCTTCCCACTGAGGTTAGAAGTTAGAAGAAACAACTGTGCGAAGCAAACGTTAGGTTGATGCCGTTGATGCAGTAGTATCCTCCTCCTCCTCCTCCACCACGACCAACACCATCACCACGATCACCACCATCATTGTTCATCATCATTTGCAATCATACTTAGTCATCACCAAAACATCATCATTGCCGTCATCATCATCATCATCATCATCATCATCATCATCATCTCGTCGTCGTCGTCGTCGTTGACAGCAACAGCAGCAAGAAATGGCAACACCAACACAAAAGCCATGGCTTGGCTAGCCTGACATACTCAGCAAGAACAAATTGCTGGAAACACGATGTACATGATTAAATTACACCACTACATTCCTCAACTGACGACAGAACACCATGACCATGAACGACCATCAGTCTACCTATCTTCCCAAGATGATCGTCGTCGTCGTCGTCGTCGTCGTCGTCGTCGTCATGATCAACAACAACAACAACAACAACAACAGCAACAGCAACAGCAACAGCAACAGCAACAACAACAACAACAACAACAACATCTCACATCCAAGCACGTCTCAAATTCAACTCCGATGGGACGCCACGCTATGAAGCCCGTCCAGATTCTTCAAGATGTTGAACTTGTTGTCGAACTTCTCGGCCCTTGGCAAGGTTCGAAGAGCAGCGTTGCATCGACAGCGGTTTTCAGCATCAGCATGCATCAGCGTCATCACAATCGTGGGGGCGTTCCCGACATGGGGATCCCCAAGTCATCATTGAGTCACCAAAGGTTTCAATACAAAAATTCAAAAAACAACAAAAAAATATATATATATATATAAACGGTCTAATGACTTGGATGATTTGGGGGTATCCCCATGACTTTGGAAATCTCCTGATAATCCTGGATCATGGGGACTTCAGCCCTGCCCTGCCATGCCGCTGAGTGGCTCTTGAAGCATTTCTAATCGTTCAGGTGGAACGGACCAATCTGCGGTGGTCCGCTGTTGGGGCGTGGGCTTTCGATGACATGGAGGCAACATTTGGAAACAGGAGGTTGCATGCCCAAGACACTCAAGAAACTTTCAACCCCATCATGTTTGCACATGACATTAGTACGGAAAGTGCATGGGAAGCTTGTGAGAATGAGAACTCCTTTAAAGTGCCTGCAACTGTTGAAAAACAATCGACATGTGCATAGCAAAATGGGTGTTGCAATGGCGCTTGCTAGAGTACACACGCACCGCACACAAAAACACGCGACATGAATGAGGAACCTGACGGGCTCTCTGAATTCTGTCGTTGATCCCATCATGATGAGTTCCAAAGAACAGAAAACATCAGATGTTTTTTCCCCACCTGCCAGGTGAGGGTTGTTAGATTTTATGTCAGTTGCCTCCTCCTCCTCCTCCTCCTGCCTCGTCCTCCTCTCGTCCTCCTCTCCTCCTCCTCCTCTCCTCCTCGTCCTCCTCGTCCTCCTTGTCATCCTTGTCGTCCTCTCGTTGTCCTCGTCGTCCTCGTTGTCCTCCTCGTCCTCCTGCTCAACTGCGACTCGCGATTCACAGTGTTCGCTGCCGGACCTCAACCACGACCATCCACGCCCAGTGTTCCCTGCCGGACCTCAACCACGACCATCCACGCCCAGTGTTCCCTGCCGGACCTCAACCACGACCATCCACGCCCAGTGTTCCCTGCCGGACCTCAACCGCGAGTATCCACGCCAAGTGTTCCCTGCCGGACCTCATGTAGGAAGATATGGGACAAAGAATGTGCAGAAGAAAGTTAGAAAGAATGTCAGAAAGAATGTCAGAAGATATGCCAGAAGATATGCCAGATAGAATGCCAAATAGAATGCCAGATAGAATGCCAGATAGAATGCCAGAAGATTTGCCAGATAGAATGCCAGAAGATATGCCAGAAGATATGTCAGAATATATGCCAGAAGATATGTCAGATAGAATGCCAGAAGATATGCCAAATAGAATGTCAGAAGATATGTCAGATAGAATGCCAGAAGATTTGCCAGTAAGAAAATGTATAAATGTCATGGTGGGGATCACACGAAGTAAAGTAATTTTGCATGAAATCCATGTTCAATTTCCAGCTTCTTAGGTTGGCTTCCAGCATGACTTAAAGCCATTCTTCGGCACCGAGCTCCAAACTGACGATGGCTTTCATGATTCGAACTTTGCCTGGCCACTAAGGCTCATGCAGTATTTCCCGGTGAGGCGTAATTGCAACATACTGGGACTACAAATGGCTACAGCTTACCAGATTACCAGTGGTATATTTGAGATATGCATAAATCCAACATTGGGTGATTTGGTTCCAGACCAAACGTTTGAAGAATACAAATTCAAAAACCATTTTGGAACAGCGAGATCTAGGTAGTTGAATGCCAACATCACTAAGTGACTTGTGGGGGGGATCTTGAGGACGAGCTGAGGGTACCAAATGATATGTCGGAACGCATCAAATAAATACACTGCATATATACATAAATAAAGAAATATGTGTTATATATAAAATTAAATATGTATATATATATATATGTGTGTTTATTTAAAACATGAAGGCGATTGAAAACAACAAACGTATTTTGGGCGGTAAATCATTCCATTGCTGGTTTCTGACCTTGACCCATATGCATTGCGATTTCTTACGCTTCAAGTGTTTTTTGCTTAAGCCCAAGCACAAGTGAGTGAACATGCACCCAAACATAGAAACACTTGTCACCCTGAGAACAAACATCTCCAGCAAAAGTCAGAAATAGTCGATGGGCTATCTGGTGATCTTATGCACACACATATGTATATATATATATACAGGATGTAAAAATATATGCAAAACAAGTATATATGTTTTTTTGAACAAAACATAAAACTACAATATGTCCATACGCATGTATATATTTATATTATATGATATTGCTATAATTACATGTATGGGCCAAAATGTAGCTTGGGCCCCTCCGGTGTCCCGCAACAAATCGTGAACGGCTTTACGGTTTCGTGCTGCCACCATGAGAGGCGTGGAACCACTAAGGTCTTCCTCCTGGAGACGTGGAACGTAAACACAGTGATGCACTCTGCTACCAGTTTGACAGTTTCAGGTACAATACACATATATCTATCCATCTATCTATCTATCTATCCATCTATCTATCTATCTACCTATCTATCTATCTATCTATCTATATATATATATATATGCAATTATATGTATACATATGCATTTCTCCTCACGCATTCATGATATATGCCCTACAAATATGTGTTTTTTGTCCAGCATGGGGAAGAGATTATGTACAATCATGATTGTAAGTTAAGGTAAACTACGAAGAAAAACAGAAAGAAACAAAACAACCATAGAATGAATATAATAGTGGTGATGAGTGATGATTGATGATTAATAAACAAGCCTATGTGAACCAGTACAAATGACAAATGGAGCATGCACAATTCTGCGGGATATCTATGAAGTCAGTGGAGTGAACTGACGCAGTCTTGACTCGCAGGGTGATATGCATGAAGCTTGTTCCGTTTGCATGACCATTCTCAAGGTGTAGGGAATCAAACCGTCAAATGCTGATAGTGATTCTCCCAATTGTAGATATTGTAGAGCCTTTGTTGAAATGTGTTGCTGAAAGCTTGGTTGTCAAGGTAAAGTAACAATTGGCTCTTGGTTAATGTTACCATTTTCTAAGAACAAAACTTACTAGCATATTTGATAGCCATAATTGTACATACATACCTGTGATGTTGAGTCAAGGAACTCGTGCGCAACCCTCCTTGGTTGTCGGCTCACCATATTTGGGCCACGGGTGTGTCTGAAAATGGGGCAAACACCTCCCCAAAATAGCCACTTTAAATCCGGAACATGATGGTTAATCATGTCCTGGTTGGTGGTTTCAACCCCTCTGAAAAATATTAGTCAGTTGGGATGATTATTCCCAATATATGGAAAAGAAAAAATGTTCCAAAACACCAATCAGTGTTTATTAGGGGTAATTACCATATTTGAAACAAATCCAAGTAGAATGGACCACCATGTAGCTACTTGGAAAGCGTCGGCTAAAGCGGTGATCAAATCTGAAGGTCTTGCGGTCGCTCGCTGGCGCTCGCTCGCCGCTTGCCGCTGGTCGCAACTGCGGGCAGCATGGGTCAAATCAATGGCTCAGAATTGATTCCTTAGATAATTTAATATCCTACGGAGTCTGGCTGGTTGTCCAACCAACCAGAAATGTAAACCATCAAACCTGGTCTTTCTACTGTATGTCTTTCTTCAACTGGAAATAACATAAAATAATGTTGAACTTCGCTGAGCACGCTGGAGCAGGCACTTAAGTCTATCCAAACATATCCCAACTACTGTGGTCAGTGACCATCTCCCACTGGTTGGTCAAATTGAGACACTAACCGTCACTAACCCATCGTTTTTTTGGTTCGTGAATTTTAAATGGAAAAAGCAACGCAGCCGCACATCTGCCGACAATTGCTCAAACAATCCAACTATTGCTGGCTAGCCTTTTGGTCGGTAGAAAAAATACACCGTTTCTACTTGGAATTATCTCATATTAGAACATTACTTCTATTTTGGGTAACAACTATCAATGCTTATCAAGCAGTTGGTGTGTATATATATATATATACCCTATATATATACTATATATATATATACACTATATATATATATGCTATATATACATATCTATATCTATATATATATATGTATATGTATAATTATATTATATACATACATAATACATTTATACAAACGTAACATGGCTGCCAATGGGGCGACCCTGTTCGCAAAACATTCAGCTCAATGGGACATGTCCACTGCTAGGTGAAATTGTTCAATCTTTACTTTACTAACTGGTCAAATCATTTTTCCGCTGAAAACAAACACATCAAAATCCTCATGTTTGCTACTTAAACCCCAGTATAAATAATAATAAATATATGAATTTGCACGGCCAACTTTGTTTGACCCATCCCTCTCACAGTCTCTGTGCGTTCAGGCAGCAGGCTAACCAGGGGGTGGGCCTGGTTCGAACAGTTGGATGGAAATATGTGAGTTTAACTGGGGAATTGCCTGAAAAAAATACATGAGTTTGATGTTCTATGTGAAGGTTTCTTTTTGCAACACCTAGAAAACGGACGCTGAAATAACATACAAATACAACATGTTCGATATGCTCATGTTTTTTTTTTCCGTTGGTTTTCTTCTCAAATATGGGCACCCCTTCCCATTGATTTTCTTCTCAAACATGGGCATAGTATGTCATATGATTGAATGTATCATGGTTCAATGGTTCAATGTTAGCCATGGATCAATCGCACTTTCTGCGGTCGATTTGTTTCTTCGGTGCTGGCATTTTAATATGGTTAACTGGTTAGCTATCAATTGCTTGAAGAAAACTTCATAAATTATCAACCAGGGTTTATTTATAAGATAATCCAAATTTGACATTAATTGAGCAGTGTTCAAAACCCCCTCCCATTCCATTGTACTGGTTGGCTGATAGCGAATCCCACGATGGATGATGATCAAGCCAATGTATTTGGAATTATGTGGATAATTAGTACGTATAGCCGCTTACAATATCCTACAATCAGTACCATTACCAAACGGGGGTTTATCAGCCATTGCTGAATTCTTTTCCGGGCAGCTGTTGAAGTAGATCATGTCGAAGTTCAAGGGGCTTGGTGCTTCCTTCCCCTCACGCTCCTGACGAACGTCAAGCGTAGCTGCGCAGCAGATCCGTGGCCAATACGTCTGGCCATATCCAGCTGGTAGGGCTATTTTTCAATACCCAAAAGCATCAAAACACATTCAAAAACATTCAAAAACTAGAGATCCCAGCTTGAGTTCTCAGCTCCAATAATCTCTCTCCCTCAAAATCCTAATGTTGTCTTCTCCGATGTCAGTCATGTTCTTAGTTGTCCCTGCCCTCTGCGGCTGGGCTCCTCCAATACAAAACCTCCAGCCGCGGAGATTGGAAAGGTCAAACACACGGGAAGAACTAACGGGAATTGAAACAACTACTAATTAATGGGAATTACTAGTGTTCACTAAGCAACATGAGAACTGAAAAAGTAACTAAACTATAGAGGAAATTGTGGTAAAACAAGAGAAGAAGAACGCTACAATACACAATCTTTCTGGCCGGGTCCCAACTCAAGAGCAAGTGGCCAACTTCAAACAAATCAAACATCAAAATCCATCAAAAATCATCAAAATCCTTCGTTAGCACATACCATCCCATATTTGGCAACATTCGTCTAAATTTGCAGAGTAAGTGTTGGTACATGATGGTACAATATGGCACATGTATTTAACAACAACATGCGGGTTCATCAAAGTGCGCGCGCTTGTAAAACTAATCCGTAAAGCTGCTAATGCTAAAAAAGGGCTCAATCCGAACCGAATAATCCGTAAAGCGTTCTAATCCGTAATCCGTTCACAACCCCTGAAACCTTACCCTGTGAACCTGGTCGTTGCGCTTCTTTTTTGCGTAGCACGCGGGTTCCCATAACCCCCGAAGAGGTAAATGTGTGGAATTTCCAGCTTTTGGGGGTTGTGGTTTGGCGAGCTATGAGGTAGGCTGTAGAAGTTTGTTTTCTGCTTTACCCAAGGCCAGACGTGGCAGCACGCTCAGCATAAGGAAGTACATCATCCGACAGGAAGCAGCTGTTCGTCTGAAGCACGTACGGGTGCCTCCTGTCCAGCCCTTGCAATTTCCACTTGGACCTTGTAACCTACATCTAAAATGATGTAAAATGCTCAGAAGTCAGGCACACGGGCTGCCACAACCCCCGAAGAGCTAAATCTCGGGAATTTGCAACTTTTGGGGGTTGTGGCTAGCAGCAGATACACTCAGTTGTTCTTTGACCCAGGCCGCAAAGGTGGCTACGTTGTTGCAATCCAGACGTGCAAGGCATTGCGCTCAAGAAAGAGAGGGAAAACCAAAACACGGAGGAGCCAAAATGAGCTCTGATAGATCGCAAAAACGAATCCAAACACCACACTCACAAACGAAACGCAAGGAAAACTTCCTCAAATTAGCATGCTGGTCATCATCCTCTACGGGGGTTGCGGCTTTCAATCCGTAATCCGTCCAAACCACATAATTCGAAAATTTGGCAATCCGTAATCTGCCTAAGGATTAAGGATTACGTTTGTTGAGGCTAGACATGCAATTTTCGATTTCAAATGATTTCGGGCAAACAAAAGCAAAGGTTTGTCTGAAAATGGTGTACTTAGAGTACCCCCAAATCCAATGGATTAGAACCTCTAATCTGGTTGGTGGTTGAGCCACCTACCCCTCTGAAAAATGATGGAGTTCGGAAATGTTGACCAACAGTTGGGATGATTATTCATATCCAATAAATGGAAAGTCATAAAATTCCTATTCCCAATATATGGAAAGTCATAAAATGTCCATGTATCCAAACCACCAAGCAGTCATTTTCTATCTTCAAATAACTGGGGTATCCCCGGATATCGCCAATCCCAGGCCGTTCCAGGCATCCCTGGCCATCGTCCGTCCACGTGGTGCGGACGTCCTGCATGGCGTCCTCACTGACGTCCATGGCCTGATGGTGTGAAACTCCATGGGGGCCATGGGAATACCCTAGGACTAACATAGAAATAACATAGGAATAACATATTAGACATAATAGTATGGACGTAACATTAAAGAAATATAATCAAAATATAATATGAATATCATGATAAATCATGTGATGATATGTGGGGAGCAAAATGGGAGACTTAACAACTTGATTCATCTGTCTGAAAATGAGGTGTACCCCCCAGCCAATAACCGTGGGGCCTTTGGGGGAAGCAAACAAAACTGTTGGTTTTGCAGCTTGGTGCTTGGTGGCCGTTTCCTGAACCTAAATGACTTCTGTGTGTGACAGTTCTTGCGAAACAAAATCACAGATAGCGATTTAACCCTCTTGAAGGTGAACCAGGCTTTGGGGAATTGCCCATTTTGATATATTTCACTCGTATTCATACGTACTGTAGTCCCTAACATGCCCACATGTAGTGCCCGTGTTTGTCAGCGGTCATGTTCTCGTCTGGATGGGAGATCCAATGTCATCGAGTCAAAATCTGGTTGGTAGCGTCGCTGCATCCCAAATATGTGTCTTCACAAGGTCCAGAAGCGGAGGCTGTTGGAAAATTCCTGCAGAAAAATGACAACGACAAGGAAAACACCTGCGTGTGTCTCAAAATAATGTCACCCCAAACTATGCAAACTTTGATGGGAAAATGATGATGGAACATCAAGTTTGGGAGGTGCCCCCCCTTTTTCTGGGGTGCTGACATGGGATTTATATACCACCCCCCCAAAAAAAAAAACAACGCAGTTCTTAGTGAAAATGATGATAATCCTTCCGAATGCGGGCGCCTTAATGATCACCCAATTTGATGTCCAATGCCAGCCTCCTCCGATAAACGAAGCAAATCTTCCAGCTCTTCAAATGGCCAGTCTCGCATGTCAAAGGCAAAATCCTGCGGGTGATTTTCAGTCCAAAGGTGCAGTGATCAAGCCTTCAATGCCATACAGTTGATGGTTGGTTTACAGTTTATGTGCGTTCATGGGAAAATCCTAGCTGCAAACCCTGTTTTTTCCAATCTCAATGATTGATTCCCGGTACAGTCCGTGAATGTTCCCTTCAGCCTTCAACCAATTCTGGGATAGAACTCATTGTTGTCATGGGTGGCTATACTTCCCGTAGGGGATTTATGACTACAATCTACAAGGTTGCAGAAACTGCGGACAAGGGTATGGGTCGCTCCATGCTGTCAAACATCTACAGATCCTACAGTGAAACAGGAACAGGATGCACTTCAGGGTTGTGGTTCAAAACCATGAGACATTCAACAATTACCCTCTGGTAAACATACAAAAAAACTATGGAAAATCACCATTTTCAATGGGTAAATCCACTATTTCTATGGCCATTTTCAATAGCTATGTTAGTTTACCAGAGGGTACACAGGACTATGATAAAACCTGTCACCTCTTCGGATCCCTTTTGCATATTGGCACATTTCTGGTTTCACCGCGCCACTCTAAGCAGGGACTCATGATCCGTAGTCCAAAGTTAGAGATGGAAAATAAGAGGGACATTGTTAGATTTCCACATATATCCATAATTAGATTAATCAGTTCGATTTATGAAACCAACTCCGCCCTGGCCTCAGCTTCCAAGGAAATTTCTTCCAGAGACGCTCCGGTGAGGTCGCCTCCCAAGCACTCTCTTATTTAATTTTGCAAGTGGAAAACTCGTGAAACATATAGGTAATCTTAATATTTGACGTGAAATATCTATCTAAGTTGTTTTTTTGCCGGGGCTTCATATTGAGGGTTTCTAAGGTTGGTAACATCATTGACAGATATCTTGAATGATTTTAATGTTCATGTCTAATATGTCCAATAATGTTGTCTAAACATGCAGAAAAGACAAGTCCCAAGTCCCTGCTTCTACTGGAACCGTCTGTGCAGGACCGTCCAAGACGAAACATGGCACAATTCATTGGATTCTCAGGGTCGATTAGCCCATCCCAAACTAGGCTACCATCTGGTTATGACTAACATAGCCATGGAAAATCCCAACCATAAATGGAGGTTTCTAGCTGGGAAAATCATCTGTTTCTACGGGCCATTTTCCAAAGCCATGTCTATGTTAAATAACCAGAGGGTACCCTCTGGTAAATTAACATAGACCCTGGCAGTCATCGGGGTTGGAAGACTAGTTTCAATTAAAAATGGGTGATTTTCAGGCATTGAACCTGGACCACAGAGGCGTGTCTGACTGGGAAAAAACGCCAGCAAGGACCAGTGAAAAGACCAGTGAAAAGAGAACGCCAGCAACGCATAGCAGTGAAACAAATTGCCAAAATATAGGTAAATCATGATAAATCATCATAAATCCATGTGTCAGGTGCCAGAAACTTGAATTAGTATGGCACATTCCGAGATTCTGGATCCAACCTGCATGTTTGGAAATGACATGGATGTGCCTGAAAATTAAACAATCACAAATCCTTTGTAAACGAACAACAAACAGAAATGGATCTACCATGCCCATTTTAGATTGTCATAGTCCAAAAACTGAGCAGTCACCAAAATTCTGCAGCCAATTATTGTGTCTATCTCCATCGTTGAAAAGATTTCACAACGTCATCAAATTCGCATTCCCATGCATCCATAGTATCATATGAATCATATATATATATAGAATTAATATATATAATTAAATGTATATGTATATACGTATATATATATATATATATATATCAAATTACCTTTACCTATTTACCAATTTGTGAATAATGATATATATATATATATATGTGTGTGTGTGTGAATATGTACATATATATATACACCATATCTATATCATATCTATAGCATCTCTATAGCATACCTAAATCATATCTATATCATATCTATATCATATCTATAACTATATCATATCCATAACTATACCATATCTATGTCTCTATCATTCTCTATCTCTATCTCTGTTTCTATCTCTATCTCTCTATCTCTCTATCTCTCTATCTGTCTGTCTGTCTGTCTGTCTGTCTGTCTACAATAAACATATCAAATTTATCCGCCTTAAACAGTACAAGAAAAAAATCCAGCACCGCATGTTGCTTTGCGTTGCGCCTGGCACACCCCAGCGTCGACGGCCCTTCTCACTTGAGAGTTCTCTCATGGCCCACACCAGGTGTTTGAAACTCTCCTGCGGTCGAGCTGGACCCACTTTGGACGCTGCAAGTTTGGTCGACTACTACTGGGTCTAGGGCGAGATATAAATGAGGAGATGCTTGGTGTGCAACAAGAACACCAAACGCTAAATCACTCAAACAACAGGGGACACACCACAGAAGGAACATGAATTTGGAATTGGTTCTTTTTCCAGTTAGATGTTAGTTAGATGTTGGGATTCGATACTGTCTATCTCTCTATGCAGAGTATAAAATTAATTCAAGCAGTCTGAACCCAACTTTAGCCCACGACCGGCAAAGAGCCTGCCTCATTTCCCGTTTCTGGCACATCCGGGTGCAGCTCACGTGCCAACTGGCCTGACTCTGATGCCGACTGCCGAGAGTAGCAACCATGGTGCCACGGCACTGGGAAAATGTACACCGTCGTATCTCTGGTGGCAAGCTTAGGTGGATCATCATATGGTGAAGAACGGTGAATGTAGTCATTCAAAGTTGGTCTGGGTACTAAATCACAGCAAGACCTATCACTAAAAAGAAGACCTATACCTACCCCACAGCTACACCATCTCTTTCCTTGATTCCATTGATGATTGTCTGCAGCTAGCCCATTGGTCACCCAAACAAGTGGATGATCCCTGAGCTTCAGGTCATTGTTTGGAATCAGGGCTGGCAAGTGGCAACCCATCATGATTTTGCATGCTATAATTACAATGATATAGCTGCAATGAACTGACACATAACAAGTGGATACAAGTGGAACATTCATGTTCCGATGGGAATTTACGATTAATCCATGATGGATCTTCCACAGGCACCGAGGCCTTTTTTTAATAGCGCGCAGTTCTTCATCATCCACCTATATCCACCTTCCAGAAATCACACATACTGTAATATATATATATATGATATATATATATATGTGATATATATATATATGATATATAGATATATGATATATATATATATGATATATATACATATATTTTATATCTATATGCAAACGAGGAAACCGGCATCTTGTATCATCAATTCACCTGCATATGGATGGAACATTGAATATATAGTTTGTATGTTGCCAGCTTGGACTACCAGGGGCCCCCCTTGGCCATGACGGCAAGATGCGAAAGGCGGGTTTGATGTCCTCCTTGGAACATCCGCGGGGCAAAGCTAAGATATCATACCTCGGAGCTCGGAGCAGCTGGATCGAGCTGGGTCCGGGCTGGGCACTTTTTTGCCCCCCCCGGCCCACATGGACATTCTAAACCGGCCCACATCACTGAGGAATCTGGGGCTTGTCACCATCGAAAATGGCAGGGTCAATCCGGAATCCAATGTGACACTCCAGTAGGCCACTGCCAATAGATTGAAATCCACAGAAGTGCTGGCTGTATATATGATGGCAAGTTAACGCACCAAAGTACATGAACAAGTTTGAATAAATTAAAATGGCCGCAAGCACTGCAACCCGAAAAATACAAAATAACAATGAACTGGTGACATTCATGCTATGATATTCTGTTGGCCTCATGAAAGTAATCTCATCGCGGGTTCAACCCCCTGGCGTTTGCCTTCCGATTTTACACACTCACAGTATCTGAGACAAACATTTCGATGTAGGACACGAATCCCATAATAAAGCGAGGTTTATGGTCGAAAAACGAGGCTCAAATCAGTTTCATTTGTCATTGAATTTCTATATTGGAAACTTCTAACTGAACCTACGATCCACCACTCGCAATCAGGTTCTATCATGTTCTATCCGAATGTCCCAGTGATACTGATTGACTCTGATCGGGTTTAATTCCAGTTGCCAATCATATCCATGTCTAGATATTCCATGTGATCAACCAACAATAAATTCCAAGCTTCGAAGGTTCTTGAGTGCTCCCAAACAATACTCAAACTTAGGTCCAAGTCAAAAACATGGTACAATATGGTACAATATGGTACAATCCAATTGCAGGGCTCTCTCTCTCTCTCTTTTCTTATTGTAGATTATATAATCTAGTGTTCCCCGTTGGGTTCACCACATGATGCCCTGCAGTAAAATAACATAGCCATAGAAAACCACCATTTTCACAAGTAAATCAAATAGAACAGGGCCAGTTTCCAAAGCTATATCAGATGAAAGTTTAAAAAAACCCCAAACAGATAGAAACGTTCGAAACCTGGAGACTATGGGGAAAAATGGGAAAAAGGCGATCTTTTTTCATCCTGGAAGGACTTAAAACGTTTCTATCGGGGGGTTGCTATGCCAGGTATGCTTCAAGGATCGCCACCGGCTGTGCCTTTCAGCAAGCGGCGGATTCTCCACCGTCCCGCGCGGGGAATCTGCATCACGTACCGCACGCTGCAAGATCGGAGGGCGGCCTGGAGATCACACGGATGTAAACCAATGAGGTGGAAAACGTGTGAGGAACCCTAGGAAAATGATCTACAAATTACAAAGGGTGGCTTTTCCACACCCATCTTAGTTTACAGGAAGGATAATATATATATATATATACAGTATATATCTGTGTATGTATATCATAATAGCCACCAAAAATTAGAAAGGTAATTCCGCACTATGTGAACAAGCTTCTACGTTTTCTATCTTTGTTTGGTGTTTCCATAGAGATGTATAGTGGTTTTATGATGTTCATATAGTTGCTAAATCATGCCATTTAATAATATCAAGTTGTGTATGTCAGAATATATTCCGGTGAAGATGAAGCAGAATGAAATAGAATGACCGACATGAACAACTACATTATATTAAATGAGAAGAAGCACACTGCGCAAAACCCGCTTGACCGATCATTTTCCAGGCTTTGAAGTCTGTAGTTGAGCCACGTGTCCCAAAGCATCCTGGGGATAATCCACAAAACTATTCCAAGTCTTGGGAAATCAGAACGTGATTTTTCAACCACCAAAGATTGACCCAGGTGATAGACGGTGGTACCAAGGTTTTTTTTATGTGTACCCAACCCTTCCCAAGACCGCATTGCCTTGGAACCGGGCGCCGAGCGATGCATCATGAGCCCAGCAGAACGCCTACGCTCAGCTGTTCAAAAGTGGCAAATCTGCGACATCTGTCAGCATTGATGGGGACCAACAAACACTGGGGATGAAGAAACATAGGGTTTAACCGTTTAACCAACAACAATGTGACAATAGTGGATTTATATAATGAAATATAATTTAATGAAATATAAATGACTGGTAACATTTCGATATAAGCTCTGGTCTCTGGTCATGACTTACTCCTATGCATAAGCATTTTCCAAAGCAAACTGTCAGAATAATTACCAGAGGGTATACATTCAATGCATTGATTGAACGGAATATCTACAGGGAAGCATGGTTTTGACTCCGCAAGGCTCTCCTGTAGATTTTCCTTGAAACCAATTCTGGTGTGTATGGAATATCTCTCTAACCCGAGAGAACATGGAAAATCCAATCCTCGAAAGTGGTCAACTTAAGCTGTTTCCCATCCTTTTTGGGGATTACATACGAGTTACGGCCACATGTGCCGTCAAAAGATACGCTACATGTGGTAGTCATCCATCCCGAAAGATGCCATATAAATCCACATGGATTCATGACCAGCCCCTCAGTATACAACTGGTTGGTGGTATACCTACCCCTCTGAAAAATATGAGTTCGTCAGTTGGGATAATGACATTCCCAACTGAATGGACAGTCATAAAATTCATGTTCCAAACCACCAACCAGATATGTAATTTACCCAAGTTTGACCCTGGCACGGGCACGTGCAGAATTTGGAAGTTGGATTCCGTTCGGTATCCTTTACGCTGGCCGGAGCTCTTACTTTCAGTTCTTCAACCCTCTCTGCTTCGCCAGCAAATCCAAGCATCATGAGGTATCCACAAACGAAAGGTATTTCTTCTTTTTGTCATGTTATGTCACGTCTGAGAGATTCCCAAATCCTTGCCTGCAGCTTTAGGAAAATGACGCTCAGAAAGCAAAGTGCCTTGTGGCTCGGAGCGGCTCGCTGCCGTGTGGAATCGCTCTGATCAGATGTCATATGAGGGTTTCCAACAGTAGAAATAAGTGGCTCCAAGTCATATCCAAAAGCTGCATGAAACCAATGATTTGGGGTTACTCCTACTGGAAATACCAATATCCACTGGCTCAATGCTACGGTGTGCCGGCACTGTCAATCCAAAAAATTGATTTGACACACCAGACATATTTCAAACATTGCCCTGCTTGCAATAGTAAGGTCTTGAATCAAATACAATTTCAGTTATCAAATTTAAATTAGTTAGTTGTCGATTAAAGCCATCATAGCCAGATCAAACACCATGCAAACAAGTTACCCTCCTTGAAACACCTTATATTTAGTTGGATGATTTTCCATGTATGTAAATGTCCATTTAGTTTGGGAGATTCCCAAACAATGCATAAAGCTGAGTAAGTGTTGCATTCCATAATATGTGTACATATGTGTAATACAATTTATATATATAATAGCAAACACACACACAAAAAAAAAAAACAATAGAAATACTAGTATATAGAAACATAAATAATATAATGTGTCATTAATTTGAAATCATTTTGCTTGTGTTTCTTTCTGGGGGTTGCTAAAGATATAGCCTGCTGCACCTCCTGGCCCAATGCTTACCCTTGACAGAACTCAGGTGCTGCAGCATGTCTTCTGCCCATCCAAAGGGGTCTTAGCAAAGCAACCGCCACGGTTTCATGGCACAGCTGCGGATGTTCTGGTTGTTCTGGTTGTTCTGGTTGGATGAGATTTTCCCTCTGGTTTTACATGGCTTGCTGGAAAACCCACCATTAATGGTTTTGCAATGGTTTTGCCATATCCAATGATGGGGGATTTATTGATTTTGATTACTGTGCCTTCCTTCACTAGGCCTTTGGTCAAGGACACATCTGCTTGCTTCTTTTCCAACACTTCTTTCTACTACAGTAATATTGAGTGCAAAACTCTTAGATACACAGATCATAGATCTGGAAACACTAGTTTGCAACAACCAGTTCTGAACCGCAACGGATGGTCGCAAACCCAAACCTATTGCAAAGAAAATCATCTAGAGGGGCAATCGCAAGGCCCTGTTTTTTGTCATTCCATACGCATCCACACACCTCTGATTCAAACATACTGTGATATGCTCGACCCTGTCCTCGGCTCCATCCTGGGGGCCCTACTGTAGGAGCCAAACAGCTTTGGAGTGGGCACTTCAAGCCATTCCACGAACAGCCCATTGGGCGAGCTGTGGCTTCGCTTCGCTTGTCTGGTGGTCTCAAATATTGTTATGTTCAATTTAAACACTTCAACCACATTAGCAATGATGATTCCAGAATGTTTCCCAATCACATTCCGATATTTTCGGTGGCTGAACCACCTGCCGTTTTTTGCCGACAAGTTGGTTTTTCACCAGCCCAAAACCCACTGTTTAACCATCGCATCCTCCAGTGGTGCGCCCTGCTCCAGCAACAGATTGACCTCGATGGTGACATGTGTCCGGAGTGGCAGCTGGGGGCAACACGGAACATTCATAAAACAAACATTAAAAACATGGAAAAACATACAAAGCCCTACGGTAAGTAGTGGCAAATGCAGGTGTCTTGTAATATTTTCTGTCATTTTTTCAGGGCCAATTCAGCAAAGTGGGGATTGTCATATCACGCTATGCCCTCCAGCTACGCCAAGGGGCGATGGCCATATGGCCTCGGTGCGGTGTCAGGGCAAAGGGAAGCCATGGCGAACTGGAAAGCATCGCCTTTTGCAGATGATTTACCCATTAAAATTGGTGATTTTCCATAGCTATATTAGTTTACCAGAGAGTGATTATCATAATTATTTACTGACCCAACATAAGTGTTAGCATTATATAATTATTGTAAATCACGGTAAGTACCATAAATAGAAGCATAGGTGGTTTAAAAGCCCAATCTGCCCATCGAATCCCTTCCCATATGTGACTTAAAACCATGGTTGAGTATTGAGAGCATTCACACTTAGGTGGCAAGGGATCAGGGATCATTACAAATTTCCAATCCTACGATATCCTATGTCTAAAAATTAGGTGCCAACCATTCCACTTCTTATACACCAAGTGGCATTTGTTGCGCACAGTTGTTTTTAGACACACCCATATTTATATACATATATAGGTTTATACAAATACATGTGTATATATATATATATGTGTACATCACACACACATATACATATGTATATATATATATATGTGTGTGTGTGACTTCGGTTGGATCGAAATAGTGTATCCTGTCCACTCTTCTCCAAGGTACCCATCAGCGCAGCGGCATGTAGCACGGTTCCTCCACTGGCATCCTTCAAGGTCAAGTCTGCTCGGACCTGCATCGCATGTCATTGAGGTGGCTACAGCTGGTTGAAATGTGTGTTAATAAACAGTTAATCAACCCTATTTAACTAACCCCATTACTATGGTTAAGTATTTATAGTTACAGCCATAGTAATAGGCTTTTCCTTACTGGTGCAAGACGCAGGGAATTTTCGGGAATGATCCAATATTTTTTCTAGTAATAATCATCCCAGCAACCCCCAGCAACCCATCCATTCCCTACGTTTAGCACCAGTAAGAATTTGGATGAGCTTCAAAATACTCACACAGTATCACGGTAAAATGATGCTAATTTCATGCGTATTCCTTTTTCTGCTTAGGTTTGCCACATCAAAATACAAACGAGATATAACGAAATCACAAACAACATAGTGACCTTTAAGCAGTCCTATGAACATGGCTCCTAGTTGTAGTCAATCATTTCCCTATAGAATCCCATGATCAGATCATATCTTGATCCCTATGCTATGATATATACTCATGACCGCACAGTCATATGATTGTTTGAAACCACAAATCAGGGCATGTCTGTGGACAGGGCTCCTTGGATCTGGGTATATACACATGACTTGTTGGTGGTGAAATTGTTCGCCCCCGTTCTGAACAGTTGATGCTTGATTATTTATCAACAATTAGATTTGATTTACACATAAGGACCAGCTTCTTTTGAAGCCTCTAAGTGTCCCCAGCATTTTTCAGCATCTTTCAGCCATAGAGTAGTTACATAAGGTGACAGGTGAACAAGCACCCCATCACCAAGAATCCAGAGCGATACAACATCCTTTTTCTTCCTTCACAATACTGCTGGCTCATTGGAAAGCGGACAGCCGCTGAGTCGATTCAGTCTACTGGTCATGGCAACTGCGCAGCAACGGCCATCAACTTCTGGCGGCATAGCGAGGATGTTGTCGACTCTCATTCTGCTGCAACATGATCACCAGCGCAGCGGCCTGCCTTGCTTCCATGGTCAGACTTCGGCCTGTGAAGGGGATTTCTGGGCGATGTAGTTGCTCAGGTGTCACCAACAAACACCTCAGCGTGCACATGAAAACAAGAAATGGAAGGTGTCATGCAAGAGGGATGAGGTGCCTCTTCAGACAAAAGGCCATGGTTCAACCATTCCTGTCCGGAAATGGCCTAGCTTTAGAACACAGAACTGGGCATCAACAGGTTTTTAGACACACCCATGCCCCGCCTATGACAAGAGGAGTAGCAGGCTACCGGCCCTTCAATATCCTTCAATTTCCATCGAATCTGTTTCAGGGGCCACTATCAGTAGTAGCAAATGGAGTCTTTTCAGGAGAGTATGTCATCAGTTGTTAATTTTACTTTGGCCGTTGGCCTTCAAAGTCGTTCAACCCAGGATTTCGGTACTCTCCACACCGATCTTGGGACCAAAAAAAGGTTCCGCAATGTTCCATAAGAACGATTGACTCAATAGCCCGGTGGCTCGAATGTGTTCAGCAACTCGGTCCAGGCAGTCTTGTGCACATCCAATGTCCTATAGGCGGCAAAAAGGACGCCGAAGGCCGTCTGCGCAATTCACATGCGGTACAATGCTGTATTGTTTCTTATTGCATTGCGGAATCCCAATCAATTTTGCAGGAACAGGGGATCAACGATACACAATTGACACCGATTGACTGGTTTCTTAAATTTCCGGTCCAAGGGTTCCATATAGGTTGCTACAAGTTTGATTTACAACTATGTTCCCGACAAAATCATGTCCAACCACTTTCAATGTAGGGCCTCTCTCTTTTTTTGACGAAACATGCAAACACAGCATCCGGCTACGTCTATACACGTCTATACCAATTATAAATTGGGATACGAACACTCCTGAAGGTTTTCCTCCAACAGAATGGTTTCATAACCCCGTTTGCTAATGGTTCCTTGTAATGATAAGCCACATCTGCTGGGATCATATGCAAATTGATTGGGATCGTCAGCACATTACCTTCACATCGTCTGTCCTCATGCAGGCAATCAATACCTGAGGCTGGAGTCGTGGAGAACCTTGAAACGTTTCTGGGCCCAATTCGAATAAAATTAGGATTTATTTTCCCGTACTCACCATGGACCTTCAATAGAATTTTGCTCCGTTGAAAACTATTTAATTTGAAATGATATGAATGCTCGTAGCCGTCATTTGTGCGGGGTCTGCCAGTGAGGCCGCTATCATGCCCCCAAATTGATGGAACTATTTTATTTGGGGTGGTTAGGGACTATGACTAAACTACACAGTGCACCCCTTGAACAACTGAATGAAAACTGACATGGCTGCGCCAGCTTCTCAATCTTCAAATTCGCCTACATTTGCCAGCGGCCAAGAAACACATTTCCGCGGATATTCCTCAAGCTTGCCATGGCGGAGGGCTTGTTTAGGGTGTCAGAAAAACACATGTTAGACATCGCAGTAAACCATCCAAAACTACCACAAATGGTTCAAAAACACATTTATGAAGTGTAGAAACCATCAACACATGGGCGGTGTATTATTGCTTGACTATGGTCTACTAACATTAATGATAATCTGCCGGCCTGCCGGCATGTCTGATTGGAAGGTGTTGTTCATGTTTCCGTTCTTGGCTTGTAATTAAATAAACCTGAAATGGCCCAAAAGCAAGAATGAGGCGCTCACAGGTCGCCAAATACTTTAATCGACGTTAACCGTAGTGACTGGCTGCCAATGTTCCAATGTCCCAATGTCAGTTCATTGACGGAACTGATGCATACTGCACATGTTCCGCAATTCGGCACGTACAGCAATGTTTGTGTGTGTGCGTGTGTGTGTGTGTGTTCAAATGTGTGCAATTTTACTTGCATATGTATATATGCAAGTGATATACTGAATATGATGAATATGCACATATTAATATACCATTTAGAAGGCACACTATCTTAAATTAAAACATCTGGACGCACATACATATAAAAACTATCGCTAGCCCTTGGTCATGGAACTCTCCGCCAAGTTGGTGACAAACACCAACTACATCAAGAGTCTCTGGCAGGAATCTCGGGCAACTCCCAGGACCTCTGCTGCGAGAATTCTCAGCAAGAAACCTTACCATCCAACAAATGTCTGCGTGTACTGAGTGTACTTATGATATCTTATGATCAATGGGAGTTTCAGGATCCGAAAATGGGGTACTGTACAATATAAGGCCACATGTTGTGGGGATATTCCCTTGCATAGGCCTTACATAGGCCTTATATATGGTAGGTACCTCCAATTTAGGTTCCTAAAATGGCCATTGATATGAATTTCAACAACTCAAACCTCACAGAACGGATAAATTTGAAATCAAATTCCAAAGCTCATTGAAATTATTAAAGTGGTCTCTGGGTGACTCCCTATCCAAACGCATTTTTGGGACACATTTGGGGTAGAGTTTCGGGTTCTAAAAACCCTATGCAGAACAAGTATGGACTGAGTCCAGTTGGAGCACAAGGGGATAATCAGCAAACATGATGTAACCACCTGATACCAGTCGGCAAAGGCGACATGCTGTGGAGGAAATGGTTTTGTTGTTTTATATATAAATAATATATATATATATATATAATAATATACTTTATATATGTATATAATTTATAATATATATATATATAATATGTAAGATTATCATGATTGTAATCTGTCTATGGTTCATACAGCCATGAACTTTCTTTTAAACCCCCAGATTTGCCTCGGCTGGGCCCCTCACAGTGTCCAGCTTTGCGCGATCTTCCTCTAACTTTTCTTTGCCATAGCTTTCCAGCATTGCATCCTCAGTTGGCGACTCAGTTGGGACTTTAGACTAGATTCTAGATTCAGATGACTTCATCCATGAATTACGGGCTAATTCATTGATTTCATTGTGCGGCCAAGTCTATACTTAGCAAGTGGGTTCATTGCTAAGTAGTTGATTTGGTTGAACGCAAATTGCTAGTTCCAACAGAAATTCTCAAACGCAGCGTGTCACATTTCAGGATGGTATCTGCCTAGCCCCAGCCAGGTGCACCCCTGTTTGCCATCACAAAGCCTAACCAGTTTGCTAAGGCCACCCAACAAAATCCAGGAGAAAAATGGAGAAAACATACTGTAATCCCAAAGGAAGAGATCTGAAAGGTCTGAATTCACACCGGAATTTCGGACAAGGTTCGAATGCTGAACCCATCTGAACCCCACCCCCCACACTGCTCCTTGCAGCGAGCTGCAAGCCGTGCATTTGCCTGATTCCATAAGAACAGGTCCGCCTGGTTGTTCTCCTCAATTCGGAGCTGGCAGATTAAGCACCTTGACCCACAAGAGACCGATTCTGGTGACTGCCACCAGAATTGGCGTACAGAATGGGTGCGGAGATATATTATATGTTAAATACCAGCGAGAAAAGACAAAGCGACAAAGCACCGAAAAGCCCCCCTCCGGCAGCAGTTTTCTCACCCAGAGAATCTTATTTCCCAGCGATGGGTAACCTGTAGGAGTTCTACAGTAAGGCCCTCAAGAGATCAACTCCGTGAACGTCAGCCCTTGATGCATATGCAGTGCCTGAAGAATTACGGGGACAATTCTCGAGGCAAATCAAACATATCACCTATGGCCTGTTGATCTTCAAACAATCTCGTTTTTGTGCACTTGAAAATATCAAGGAACATGGTTGCATGGATCATATATTACGATAAAATGGTTGCATATACCCTCCAGCAACCGTGGCACACCATTCGTAGATCTTATTCCATCAAAACTTCTATGCTTTTTGGGGATTTCCATGGATTTCCCATCGCCATGTTTGATTCAGGGATTTCCCAGCCATGCTGCAGCTGTGAATCCAAGAAAGCCGCTTCAGACTTGATTGTTGCCTCGACGCGGTGGATGTACATGGATATCAGGCACCCCACTTGGGTCCCAAAATATGTGCTGTGAAAATCGTTCAACATGACACGAAAACTGATGCAACATGCAAACAGTGATCTGGCTAGCATATATAACCATATATATATATATATATTCTTACTATATATATAATATATATATATAAATCATGAGCCTCAAAAAAAGCCATTTTGGGCCAGTCATATGAAACATCATACCAAGGCGCGGCCCTTGATGTCGCTTGACTGCTTTGGGATGGCTTTGGGATGGATTTGGGATCCAAAAGTCATGTGGCTGCGATTGGCTGTCAATCTTTGTTTCAGGGGGGAGATTGATATGGTGGGATCAGCCAGTGAAGATTTTCCGCTGTCAAACCATGCCAGATCAGGCAAATGGATCCTCGCCAATCATCGCAGCATGTCATGACGCAGAAAAATAACAATGCAAAATGGCGCAACATATGCAAGTAGTTTCTTTTTATTGCATTCCTGTAACTGACCAGTTGAACCTCCCGTTGCGATCATTTCCAGTCGTAGAACCATCTTCCAAACAATTTTCATTCCAAAGCTATGTGGTGATGGCTTTTTACCCACGCTTGCATCCGACGAATCAATAGTTGGTTTCCCAGGGGCTAGCAGCTCCTTCTCACCTGCTCGATCGGTCAGGGGTTGTCGTTCCAAGGATGAACAATCAAAAGCACTTAAGCCACTCTAGGCCCGACGTGGCCCAACAAATATGCGAATCCGCAGCAACAAACCGGTGATAATTGTCATAACCAGCCTAAGCCACTAATTCAGGGCCTAAGGGGCGGCATGCCACTGGTCATGTTAAATCACATGAATAAATGGCGGTCGTTACTTTTTAGTATGCTCAGCATGGCATTTGCAACGGCAGACTTCAAACGGTGCTGGTGGCACCATCCTACCCCAGCACCTGGAATACATTCATTTACAAATGCCTTTTCCGTTGAAAAGATGAAAGAAATCCCTGCCATGTTCGATGATTTACCGGGTCTGATATTTGATGCGCCCTTGGGACCCGGTGCAGAACCCCGCCTGGTTCCTTCTTCACCTGTCCAAACTCCCAGGCTAGGCTACCCAAGTGGTCGAAACACATGTTCTGGGTAGTAGGGTGCTCATCTTTGTGGCAAAGACCAGCCAACTTCACAGTTGGATGAGATTGAAGTTGCTATAGATGTCTAGAAACTGACTTCTAACCCCTCCAACAAAGAGCTTAAATAGTAAATGATCTTGAGGGGAAAGTGGGCCCGTTGGTGTGGCATCATATCTGAACACCATCCCTGCCTTGGTGGCCCCTTTTTGGGATGATGCAACATGACTCTGGGACCAATACTACGAACCATTACTACTACTACCATATCGTTATCACCGAGTACTTTACCACATTACATCTGGGGTTAAGACAATAAAATCTGGCCATCCATAATGTCAACCCATTCAGATTTACCCTAGTTGATTCATCAAGGAGTTCCTCAAAGAGTTCCCCCCAATGAAGAGGTCATCAAGCCGCGTCCTTATCCCTGGTCCCGTGGAAACACCACGGATTCTCATCTCAGAATCCAATTACATCCGTTGTGATCAATTGTATCCTCATTGTTTACACAGTCAACCTTGGATGAATAAACCATATCAATTAGGTGGTACTTCCCAAGTAGTGATGATCTGATACTTCAATGGTACCCCATTAAACAGCCTTGAGGTTTATAGATAATAGCCTCCAGTAGACCCAAGCTCTCCAGCTCCACCTGAAAGCCGTGGCGGTGCCCAAAGGCACAGACCTGCCGATGTTCTGAGGACTTCCTGGGCGACCCATGGGTCATGCCGCGGACGACAGGCTACAAGGTCAAGGTGGTGGTTGTGGTGTCACCCCAGTTCGGAATCGCTTAGTTGCTTACGATAATACGCAGGTTCACTGGGATTGTTTAGCGCATTTTAGCACATAAACATGATACAATTATATCAGATGGGTTTATTTAAAGTTTATTAGAAATGCATTACAACTGAGGGGTACCCCTTTGTATCTTTGGGGAGGGACTGCTGAAAGGGGGAGGCAAAACCGGCGGAAACAAAAAAGGCGAAGGGATTTCCCTTAAAACCTGAATGAAACGCAATAACATTCACAACTCACAAATTTGTGCTGTCATCTTTTAGGGATCATGTCCCCCATTTGGTTTTGACTGAAAATCACCCAAAACATCCCAAAACAGTGGTTTATCATCCTGTTCCCAATTCAATCAGCCATTTGGGGGGTATAATCCCATTTTCATTCCTCCCAGTTTTTAATATACATAACTCATTTTTAGGGGATCATTCCCAACAATTATATATATATATATGCAAATAAATATATAAAAGATAAATTATGTACATATAGTAATACATATATACTGACGGACTGAAACTTAGAATGCGGCCCATTTTTCCAAATTTCCCTTTTTCGTAAACTTAGAATGCGGCGCAGCCCCGGACGGCGACCAGACAGTTAGAATGCTGACCCAAAGTGTTTAGATTTAGATAGATAAAGATATACTGAAATGACGATGGGGCATCATGGAGCATTCTAACTGCCTGTAAACTACTCTCAGGAAAGGAGCGTAGCATTCGAAGTTTCAGTCCGTCGGTGTGTGTATATATACTGTACATATATTACAAAAGATAAATATATAGATACGTGTCAAAAAAAAACATGGCCTCAGGGAACCTCATTGGGTGCAAGGTACATGGTCCGGCACTAGCATATTCTAGCATGGATGGGTGGGTTGGCATCATGTTTTCAAAAAAACTTTCTATATACATACCAAGTATGTATGTTTCCAGAAAAACACCAGGGAACCTTGAGGGACCGCATGGGTTGTGGGGTACAATTGTCTGCACAACCAAGTATATATATATATATACTGTATATATTCTCAAACAGGTACATTCATATACCCAGAACCTCCAAATACCCTGAAAAATTGCTAAAACTATGAAAATTATGTGGTAAACTACCTTTTTTATGGTGACTTGGAGGGTCTAGGATATATATTTGCGTTTCTGCCTGGAAAAAACATATGCCCTTGGAGGCATTCTAACTGCTGATTGCCGACTAGCTTCATCCTAGGTGGGGGGTGAGGCATTCAAAGTTCTGAAATGCTGGTAAAATGCAATTTTCCAGTTTTGCCGTTAAAAAAAAACATATAAACATCTTTTCCAATCAGTGACAGTTACAGGCATTCCAGCTAGCGGCCCATCTAGGAGATAAAACGAAGGTATTTATCAATGATGGGGATCCTTTACTAACGCCACATTCTAACTGTCTGTTCAACACCATTAGTGGCTGGGTGTGTCCTCTTTTCCCAGAAGCCTATCTACCTCAGGTATGTGTCCAAAATCGCAATTTTTGTACGGGAAACTCACTTTTGTCAAGGTTATCGAATGGGGAAAGCGAGTAAAAGTTCTCAGACCTGCAAAGTGCACAAAAAACAATGTGATATTCTCAAACAGGTACATTCATATACCCAGAACCTCCAAATACCCTGAAAAATTGCTAAAACTATGAAACTTATGTGGTAAACTACCTTTTTTATGGTGACTTGGAGGGTCTAGGATATATATGTGTTTCTGCCTGGAAAAAAAAAACCCTAGGATGCATTCTAACTGTTGATTGCCGAATAGCTTCATCCTAGGTGGGGGGGGAGGCATTCAAAGGTCTGAAATGCTGGTAAAATGCAATTTTCCAGTTTTGCCGTTTAAAAAAAACATATAAACATCATTTCCAACCAGTGACAGTTACAGGCATTCCAGCTAGCGGCCCATCTAGGAGATAAAACAAAGGTATTTATCAATGATGGGGATCCTTTACTAAAGCCACATTCTAACTGCCTGTTCAACACCATTAGTGGCTGGGTGTGTCCTCTTTTCCCAGAAGCCTATCTACCTCAGGTATGTGTCCAAAATCGCAATGTTTGTACCCGAAACTCACTTTTGTCAAGGTTATCGAATGGGGAAAGCGAGTAAAAGTACCCAGACCTGCAAAGTGCACAAAAAATAATGTGATATTCTCAAACAGGTACATTCATATACCGAGAACCTCCAAATACCCTGAAAAATTGCTAAAACTATGAAAATTATGTGGTAAACTCCCTTTTTTTATGGTGACTTGGAGGGTCTAGGATATATATATATGTGTTTCTGCCTGCGAAAAAATATACCCTTGGAGGCATTCTAACTGTTGATTGCCGAATAGCTTCATCCTAGGTGGGGGGGAGGCATTCAAAGTTCTGAAATGCTGGTAAAATGCAATTTTCCAGTTTTGCCGTTAAAAAACAACATATAAACAGTTATAAACATCTTTTCCAACCAGTGACAGTTACAGGCATTCCAGCTAGCGGCCCATCTAGGAGATAAAACAAAGGTATTTATCAATGATGGGGATCCTTTACTAAAGCCACATTCTAACTGTCTGTTCAACACCATTAATGGCTGGGTGTGTCCTCTTTTCCCAGAAGCCTATCTACCTCAGGTATGTGTCCAAAATCGCAATTTTTGTACGGGAAACTCACTTTTGTCAAGGTTGTCGAATGGGGAAAGCGAGTAAAAGTACCCAGGCCTGCAAAGTGCACAAAAAACAATGTGATATTCTCAAACAGGTACATTCATATACCCAGAACTTTCAAATACCCTGAAAAATTGCTAAAACTATGAAAATTGTGTGGTAAACTACCTTTTTTTATGGTGACATGGAGGGTCTAGGATATATATGTGTTTCTGCCTGGAAAAAACATATGCCCTTGGAGGCATTCTAACTGCTGATTGCCGACTAGCTTCATCCTAGGTGGGGGGTGAGGCATTCAAAGTTCTGAAATGCTGGTAAAATGCAATTTTCCAGTTTTGCACGTGTGGACTGATTTTTCCAAATGCGCATTCTAAGTTTCAGTCCGTCAGTATAATAAATAAACACACGCACACACACACATACAAATATATATATATATATATTAACATATATATATATATTAACTGTAAAAAACAACACATATCCATATCTAATCATCATTCATGCCAGTGCCCTGCACGCCCAAGGTGCAACTGCACATGCAGCAGCTGCGCGAAGGTCAGGTTCCACCGGGCCTTGAAGGCCAGCAGCGACTCGGCGAAGCGCTCCGTGACGAAGATGAAATCCTCGTCGCCCCGGAAAATCCGGGGGAAACGACGAGGATTTATGGTACTTAAATAACATAGGATCCATGGTGCTGCTATATATGGTAACATGGATCCCATCAATATACCCCAAATGTTAGCATATATGCCATACATGGATCCTATGGGATATATAGTAAACTTGGTACTTCTAAGGTCACAGCTACTCAATGTGATACATGGGAAAAAGGGGGAAAAACAACAACCCTTAAGGTGATTAAATCGCAGTTTTACCATCATATGGTGCTTGAGCCACCGCAAATTCACGATTGGAGGAATTGCACGTGGAGATTTTGGTACGGCTGAAAAAGCGACACACCTCCTAACCGCAGGTTTTAAGAGAGAAGGCTAATTATCATCAACAGGCAAGATTGTTCGACTGGAAATCAAGTAAATAGACCTAGATATATGTAATAATAATGTATTATATAAGTATACAGAGATCGGTAGATACATAGATCGATAGACAAAGAAACCAACAAATAGATACAATTAGAAAGATAAAACAATGAATCTATATATAATATATATATACAGTAAATATAATATGTATAGATGTGTACATATATATATATGTATAGATGCGTATAGATGTGTATATATATATATATGTATATATCATGTGTGTATAATACATACATAGAGGCAGAGAAGCACCTAGATGCAGAAGACACAAGCACACAAACAGCACCAACATGGCCAATTTGTATCATTTAGGGCAAAAAATGATGAACCAGTGAATTTTGGGGTATCATTTCTTGAAGCAAACCCAAATTGCCGGAAAACATAATGGTGTATTAACATGTAATAACCCTCAAGGAAAAAACAAATAACACACCAAGTACTGGGAACTCAGTTTTCCAAACGCAGAAACAACTGGAATTTGACATTCAAAAATGATTCTACAAACGCAATATGTTCATTGACCTTGAAGGGGAAACATGATTTGCTGTCCTGCATAGTTTGCATGCTTTGGCATGGTACCAAGTCTGGGATATAGGGCAGCAAAGGGCAGCACTGCCCTGGCCAAACAAAAATAGCTTAGTAAGGGCCAGGCGTCATAGCGTGCCAGGAGATCAGTGGTGGACTCTGAAGGAAGGGCCAGGAAGTGGTACTGGAAATTTCCGCAACCTGCATCTTCCAAGGATGCCACGGACTGCTGGCAATCTTGGCACTTGGGGTATCCTCCTACATAGAACCAAAACAAGCATATTCTTGTAAGCCAGTAGCTGAAAAACATAATCCAAGTGGAGAATTTTGTTGTTTTTTTCGCTAAAAAAGCGCATTGGTAGGATTCGGTAGGATGGTCATCCAAGTGAAGCAGGGTTTTTGTTGCTTGGCAAGTGGGTCATGGTCATAAAATGTCATATACCCATTTAGGAAACATCATGTAGTGGCATCCTTCGCAAGGCGATAGGGGGTGCGTCTTTTGGGTCTGGAACAGTGATCCCGATTATGTGGTTGGGAGCCTCCAATTCTAGCTCCTTGGTTTCCCATTCTTTTTTTAGGCACCTGATGTTCAATACTCCCCAAAAACACTGGTTTAGATTGGTTTGGTATGCTTTGTATGGAATCTATTCATTTCGGGGCCCACTATTGGGCCGAATCAATATTAGGGGGGTGGGGTTACAACCATAGCTCTGTTCAAAGCTCCTTCCATTCGCCACCGGGCACAACTGACCACAACCCATGTGGGTAAATTATAGTAATTCGGGAAACCCTAAGCTAAATCAAGACCATTTTAGAATGATTCCAGGGTCATGATGTGAGGTCGTTAAAATTTACCCACCAGCCATGGGTTGCGGATTCCGCTGAGCCACACAGGTCGCCCCATGTGAAGTTCGCGGCATCGCAATTGGATCTCAAGATCTTCATCTTGTCCTGAAACGAAACGGATCGCAATGTGGTGCCGCCCCCCCACCAAAAAAACACACGGAAAACCTAGCTGCTGAATTATGTAAGAATTTATATATATATATATATAAAATCGATTTTTATATATATATATTTTTTTATATATAATATTCCGAAACTATGGCACCCCGAAATCAATGGCTTGGGTATTACCATTAACAATCGGGGACGTATGGTGACAAGCCCTGTCCACTTCCAATGACACAAAAACAAGTCTCCAAAGAATATAGGTAAAAGAAGGCATCTGACAAGGCCTATAGCCTATTGCTCGGTGGTTCATCATGAAAATATAGATACAGTAAATATAGTTATCAACTATGCACCATGCAAACACCATACCATGACCAAAAACACTTGGCTACCTATCCCAGTCCTGGATACTGGGTGCCTTCTCCTGATCAATGTACGCGTGGTAAAGGCGCGAGACGCAGCGCTCAAAGGGCGAACGGAGGCTGGTGACCACCACGGGTCTAGGCACCAAAGTCATCCAGGAGTCCCAAGCCTATGCCGAGCGACGCTTGGGGCACTTGGGGAAAGGAACCAATTAAGCTATGGGACTCATGTGCAAAAACACACAACTAGGAGATCCAGCTTGAGGGTGCAGCACCAACTATAAGACTATAAGTGAATATGCAACTACAGCCATAAGGCTTATATCTTAACTTGATCCGAAAGCACTACTCTAGAGGGGTCTGGACCCCCAAAAAAAGATATACATATGTTGCAACGTTTACTTCTACATATGTTTGATGCACTTGAAGCCCTGCATTTGTTTGCATTTGTTGTTGCATTTCTTGTGGCATTTCTTTGCATTTGTTGTGGCATCTCTTTGCATTTGTTGTGGCATTTCTGTGCATTTATTGTGGCATTTCTTTGCATTTGTTGTGGCATCTCTTTGCATTTGTTGTGGCATCCCTTTGCATTTGTTGTGGCATTTCTTTGCATTTGTTGTGGCATTTGCTTGCATTTGTTGTGGCATTTGTTTTTATTTGTTCTGCAAGGTTCTACATATTGTGTGTTTGCAAATGTACTGACACAAACCGTAAATGCTGAAACAAATGTAAGCATATACGAAATAAATGTAAGTGTATATGTAAGTGTATCTGTAAATAAATGCACCAACAAATGCATAACGTCTTATTTTGTGAAAATAAGGCCCTATTTAACGTAATGACAAAAATATCAAAAAAAACATATTTTCGCGAAATAAGATCTTATGCATTTGTTGTTGCATATGTGTGCATTTCTTAATGCGTTTCTGAAAGCATGTGTTTGCATGTCGTGGCATAAGTTATATGTGTCACGAAAAAGCACGGTCAAAAAAAGCACATTTGTCGAGCCTGCCTGCACCATATGTGTAACCACAAATGTCCAGTGAGTAAGGGTAAATGCAACGACATATGATGTGACATATGTTAAGACATGCAAACACAAATGTCGAGAAATGCAAGCACACATGTTGAGACATGCAAACACGAACGTTTTTATATGTAAGGTGAAATGTTGAACACCTAAAAAACATGAAAACATATATATATATATGTTTGTTAGCGTCGGTATAAATGTAAAATAAATGGACACATAAATTCAGTACATGCACGTATGCCTCCGTATGGGGTCTATAGAGAAGGCCTTCAAAGAGCTTTTGGATTAAGCTAACTTATATCTCACCTTGTGGAGTTTTTACGATAGTTAGACTCAGTAAAAACCTATGACTGCAACCCAATAATGAATTGTTGGAAGGGAAACGCTGCAATGCCGACCAACAAGACAATGGGGATATGTATAGCCATTGAAAGTATAGGGGGCTTAACCCATGAATAATTAATGGAATCACCATGAATTACCGTATGATTGGGTTCCTTTATGTTAGGAAAATCTCAAGTGTAATCCAGTTCCTTTTGCGGGAAAGCGATTTCCTTCAGTTTTTCCCTTCATCAAATTCTCGGAATAGAATGCAGGTTCTGAGAAGTATGAACGGCACATATGCATATAGATATGTGGGTGTGTTTATTTTAAAATAAACACAAACACACACATATATATATACAAATATATATATATTTACATATGTATATACTTACATACATATATAAATATATATATTTACATATGTATATATACATATATATATATATATATGCATATACATGTTCACTGTATGTATGTATGTAAATATATATATATACCCACTGCATATTTGCACACACTCAGATATATATATATATATATATTTATTTATGATGTATGCGTGTGTAGGTTGATTTACAATAATTATAGAAGATTCAGAGGCTGGAAGCATTTGGGAACATATGATGGTCCAGCATCAGGCATCCGAGTACACAACGGCAAGGTTGACTAGTGATGCAGTGCGGAGATTACCTTATGAAATGACAGATGTATTCATATCCTGGTTGGTGGTTTTAACATGTTTTAACCATCTTGAAAAATATTAGTCAATGGGAAGGATTATTCCATATATTATGGAAAATAAAAAATGTTTGAAACCACCAATCAGCATCATATATTGAACAAATATGAACAAAGAAACAGTATGCGACTAGTGCCGAGTGCCGACTAGTTGATCAACTTCCGGACAAATAGATAGGCCAGCAAGACGAGGCACAGGTGCTGAAGCCCAGGTATAGGATTCCGGTTTAGGCAGGTTTCCAAGATTCATACCCACATGAACGACATCGGATGCTTGTGCAAGAACAGTAGGAACTTGTTGAAAGTCGTTGGCCAAACATATCATCCTCCATGTACCTTCATTTCATATCCCACGTTGTGATATGTTGTGACAAGGCATCTTGGAAACATGACCCAAACGACTGGGCCCTCACCACCAAAATTGATTGCCACTTCCAAGATGCTTCACTTGGCATCTCGTGCTTGGCAGCGAACATCACCTTCCGCCATGTCGTTGTGGGTGTCCGGCGTCTGAAATTCATGTCGCGTGTCAAGAATGTGCCAACCCTTGTCATAGTTACCTTTCAATGTTCCAGAAGCGCCGTCTCAAAAGTGGCTGACATGAAACACACATCTCACTAAAGAAGTCAGCTGCATTTTCCAAGGAAAAAACAAACACTTAGTGTACTATATATATATATATATGTATATATTTAAATATACTATATATATATATACTATATATCTATCTATCTATCTATCTATCTAGAAAATTCTAGAAAGCAAATTCCGGCCCAATTTCGCCAACGGCACCAAGGTGGCACCAAGACACCCGCTGTCGCACCAAGCGTCGCGGTCGCAAGCGTCTTGGGTCATCCCCCACCGGGATCAAATGGCCCAGGGAGCGACCCAGGCGGACAAAAACCTGGGAGATCCACAGTGGAAACATGTGGAAATCCGGATGTTTATGATGGTTTATACAGTAGTATATAAGAAACATGTAGTATATAAAAATAATCACATAGAAACATGTTTATGATGTTTCACCTGCAAAAAATCCGATTGTGATGATATTGATGATTCTTACATACTACATTTTCTATGTTGCTGTTGTTCGGAAGCTAACACAGTGTTTCTTCATTTCTTCTTGAGATGAAATTTGTAAATGTTCGATGGTGACAGTGTTGAACCCAACCTCTGGCTAGTGGTTTCAATCCGTCAAACCAATGCTCCTGGGGGGATCGTCACCCTAAATGGCTTTGAAAATAAACATGTTTAAGATCACCAGTCAAAAAAAATCATGGTAATATACCGTATATACCCAGTAAATATATGTAATTTCACGTAAATATCATCAATTCCCCATCACAAAATCACCATGTTAGAATCTTAGATAATGTTACGCACAGACCCCGTGGTTTGCCCGGACTGCAACATTGATGGTTCCCTGTCGTCGAACATGAGAAGAGAAATTGCAGAAACCACTGCGTATACGCAGTGTTTTCTGCTTTCGGATTCAGAGTTTTCAGGGATTTAGGGTTTAGGGCTTTAGGGTTTTAGGGTTTAGGGTTTTAGGGTTTAGAGTTCGTCGTCTGGTAAATACCAAAACACTGGCCCTGCGCAGGTTTTTGAGCATATCGAAGGATAATATTTGAACTCCATTCTAACCTTGCAGGCAAACCATGGGGTCTTGCCGTAATGTTAGATGGTTAAATTCCAATATTTCAGGCTTCTTACAACTACTCCCAAAAAGAGAAGTCATATCATCCCTATGCAAACTCCTCAGAGGAGGTCTTCCCAGTCACTTTATATTAATTTTTATATTTAAAAAACTTTATAAAACTTTATAACATGTTATAACATGGTTTCCGCCTCCGCTATAAAATGACCATATCCCCATGTCCCCATGTCCCCATATCCCATGTCTAAAATCCCATGGCTGCGGCACCGAGGACAAAGTTGAGGAGCTCGCCTTTGGCACACGTACCACAATCCTGGGCACATCTCGATCGGTGGGAATCGTACGACATGATCCAAAATAACAGTAGATTATTATAATATCAGAATAGGACTGATAATCTTCACCAGCAAGTTTAATAGCTGCTTCGGAGATCTGATTTTCGAGTTTGAATCTGAGGCCTGGCCTGCTGTTAGCAGGTTCGTTGTTTTTTGTCCATGTTCTTTCTGATATGTGCTGGACAACCCAGTCTGAATAAATCAGAAAAAATATATACTGCTGCCCAAACTGCATCGGGATTGAGCAAGCACCGCTCTGGACCTGAAAAAATGTGGCTAGATAGAAGTGATCTTCTTCAATCGTCATGTAAAGACACCGTTTAACTGTGTGGTTAGGAATCTTTGAATTAAATAGGAAGGTCAGGGATGATATCCATGTTGGTTTGCTGAAGGGCATTCCACAGAACAGCCATGTATCGCTCTTCTGAATGTAGCCATCGTAGTCCTCAATGGTTCAACCCGTAGTCGTCTACATGTTTCCTCATGGAGAAAAAAACAAGAAAAACTGGCTGGTGGTTTTCATCCATCACAAGCCCCAAGCGTTTCATAGTTGTCATCGATCATGATCCCATTTTTGAGATGAAAAATGAGACAACCCGTTGCAAGACCATCGGCTAGTCAGCTCTATGTATACACAATTTCTGCGGTTTCATGTTGGATCCCCATGACTGGCCCCCATCCGTTTGCCCATCATAAACCCATGCTGTGTTGCTACATGTTGCTACACTATATTATACATCCAAATTGGACCCCTGTTGGCTCATGATATCCTATCCCCTTGATATGTATATAGAATATTACAGTATTCTCTATTACCCCACTATATCATACTATGTCACACTATATCATATTATATCATACTATATACAGTATATGATATCCCAATGTGTGTCTTCAGTGTGTTTCCATTGGTGCCCTGTTCTTGCTTCATGCTAGCCCACGTTTACCAATGGGGGGGTACCAATTTTAATTTCATAGCATGTGTTTTTTTCTTGGCGGGGTAATCTGTACAACCCATGGAATTAGTCAACAGGGTTTCTGGTTGAAGGAACTGGGATATTCCCTGCACCTGCTATATAAATACTTGGCATGCCCATCATGACCCAATTACATTCCCATCACATCACTATCGCGTTATATTGTGTGGTATACTATACCCACATCAGTTTCCAATTGTTACAATTCGCTCACAATACTATACCCCCATTCTATCTACCTATATTCCACCCTACCAGGTCCTATCCCATCTATCCCATCTATCCCTTTTCTTAGTTCCATCATATCCCCATCCTTCCCAGCTTTCTCCAAGCGACACGTGTCTCCACCGCAACGTCGTCGCGCCGCGTCTTGGTGCCGAGCTCGAGGAGCTGCTCGGCTCGAGCTCGGTGGCAGTGAGCTGCGAAGGGTTGAGGCCTGGCCACGTGTTACCCTGCTGTAAACCGACAAAAAGATTTGAATCCGCCATGTGTAAAATATTGTAAAATCATATTCCTAGGGAAACCGTGGCTTTTCCACATCATAAGATTTTGTCCGATTTAAGCAAGAAATAAGAGCTATAAGTGTTGACGTGTTTTGAACAAAAGAATTGATGACTTTAGGGATCACCATCGCAATGTTGATTGGATCTGTTCAAACGAGCATTTACAGGAACTATTTGTGTTTGATTTTGTTTACAGAATAGTTGAAGTTCCTGTGAATAGGATATATTAAATCACTACAAATGATCCAATACTACAGCAAGTTACGCGAATAAAGCCGCTGCAAAATGAGTTTCTACTTCTTATGCCATGCAGCTATCATCAATTCCAAATCAAAACAATGTCCCCCATGGTTGATACGAGTGTAATATGTCGTAAGATTGTTGATTGAACCGGTTTCTTGGTCAAACTTGTAAATAACCGCTGCAATATAGTCGTGCCCTTTCACCTCTTTTTTCGACATCCACAATGACATGGATTGCAAATGGTTGGCCAACCTGGCTGGTTTTTGGACATTTTCTGGACAAATACATGTCTTAGCCAGTGGGTTCCCTTGCCCAAAAAAGTCTTTTTTTTTTTTGTTGGGTTTGCGCGCGATTTTTGGGCGTGAAACAGATACCCCCCGAGCGCACGAGCCCAACCAAAAAGAACAGTTTAAAATTTAGAGATCTCATGGCGCCTCGATGCTACAGGCGGCTACATGTGAAGCAACAGCAGTTAACGGATGATCCCACAAACGAAAGTCCGGAGCAACAATCAGCCAATGCTTAGAAATTGACATCCAAGTGGAAGTGATTCCAGTTACCCCACCTAAGAGACACTCATGAAACTGATCAAGCCACACCTATTTGATCTATGTCATTCGATGTCCTGATGTTGCTTTGATAATGACCATTTTGGGTCAGACAAATCCAGCAATCACATAATTATATATACATATATATATATATATACATATATATATGTAAATATATATATATACGTTTGATATCCCACGATATGCCCATTATGTAGAGTTGCCTTAAGTGGTTTGAACTTATTTTTTCAATTTTTTTACTCCCAAACTAACGCCAAACCATCTTTGGCAGCCTTAGCGGCACCTGTGTAGTTCCCCAGGAGCAGCCAGTGCCGTAGCAGCCCGGCCCTTTCTTGGTGAGCGCCTGGCAGCGTTAGCATCGCATCCTGAGGGTCGCAAGATGGCGCCGAAGAAACACAGCAGGGTTCGTGATGAGTCGAGCTGTACATAGTGGGGTTTAATTTTCGTTAATCTGAATATATATATATATATAAGTCTCAAAATACTTATTATATATATATTAATATAATTATTTTATTATATACGTATATAAGATGATAAGGGGGTACCACCCTGCCGTGATTATGGGGGTCGTAGTGCGGTTGCCCCCAAAAAAAACTATCAGTCATGGGTTTTGATCCACAACTATCAGCTCAAGCAAAAGCACAACATGTCAAAATTAGAGTACTGGAACATACTGGAACATTATCCAATCTGAAATTTGCTTCATGAATCTTCATGAATTGGAATTCCCACTCAATACATCACGATAATTAAATATTTATATATGTATATAATATTCTATATACATATGCAAATATATATATATATACCTATGTATACATAGAATCATCCACAAACATGGTCCCAAAGATACCAGGTAGAGACAACTATGATCATACCATGAACATATCACATAGTTATATAATTATATATATATATATATACATATAACCCCAAATCTGTTGGACTAACTGCCCACCAAACTACTCCATCATCCACCAAGCCCGCTTTACGCCGCGTTGCTGGACAGCAACCCTCAACGATGCGCTGCAGCGACAAATGCAGCTCGGTCACTGGGCTGATCCAGTCGCGAATCATCCTCGACGCCCGCTGAAATGGCTGGCGGCTGGAGGAACCCCCAATAAAAGATGGGCGCAATATATAGAAAATACATGAAAATACCGGGAAATTGTGGGACAAATAAAGAAATTGAACTATCATACTGGAAATAATTAGATGTTTGATGTTTTCTATCTTTTTGCGGGTTGCTATAACCTGCTACATGCTATTTGTCACGGCAAAATGAAGAAATAAAGAGTTCAGTTGATGTCTGATCAAAAGGTGTCAAGCAGGTCAAACATCCCCCTAGCATGGTGGAAGGGGTACCTTCAACCCCTTGAAATGTTGGATCCAAGAAGACCTCCAAAAAATAGCCATTGGGCTATTCCCAACTCCAACAAGGTTTCAACTCTGGTGGCAAGCAGGAATGGAGTTGCACAGTTGCACCCCCAACCTCTCGACTTTCAATCAAAGCTTCCAGGTGTCTTTCAAACACATCACCTGGCAAACGGTGCCCAGCCGCACTGGCGCATATCAAAATTTGGCGGAGGAACAAGCAACCAGAAACACAAAACAAAGACATCCTCACGAATGAACATTCAACAATCATTCAACAATCATTCAACAATCATTCAACAATCATCTCATAGATTCGACAATAAACAACTATCAGCAGCACTGCCGGCACCTCCACCCCTTGCCGGCAGCCATCCCAGGGCGAATCACAGGCGTTTCTGGGCAGGGCAGGAAGGGCAGGAAAGCAGCGATGCACATAGCACCAGCCCAGTTCTACACCTCGGAGACCCTGATTTATATAATTGGGATAGGTCCTCCACGAAAAAGTGGAATTCGATGATATTCGATGTGAAATGATGCAAAGTTCCGGAAATTCCACAGCCCAGGCGGCCCAGGCGTTTGTGAATCCGGAGGCATGAGTCAACTAAGGATAACTTGGAGTGTTTTCCATGTTCTCCCCATTGCACCAGCTTGTTACGGGTCCGGGTATCGAATCAGAGGGGGCACTGACCTTCAACTACGGATCATCACCCCAGGTACATAGATGTGCCATGGCGCTAGCTAATTGCTGAATAGCCGGGGTGTATCCCCTGATACGTGGCTTACGACAAGTCCCTCATTACTAATTACCAAAAGAGTCCAAATGAATCAACCTCATGCCAGAGCGGAGACTTTCAGCCAGGTCTGGGCTATGGAATTTTCATTGCAGACTCCAGGGCAAATGGGACGCAATTGGACTTACAGGAGCAGTAAATACGCAGAAAACGACCATGTAAATATCATGAATAACAGCTTTGAAAGCATTTTGATACAAAGTCACTTGGCTTTTCAATCCACCAAGCCATTTGAAACTGCTCCAACATATCAATTATCTTTGACGTCGCTAATTACATCACTTGGCCAGGTTGACTTCAAATCTCCACGGCCAGAACATCCAGAACTGCGTTCTCTGCTGAGGGACACCATTCCCTCGGATCGTAGTAGCGCAAGAAGAGTGGTGGCCACAGGGGCGCTTCGTGCCGGTAGAGCACCGCTCCATTGAAGTCGAAGCCAGTGTCATGAAAAACGCCCAGCACCTTGGTTTCACCACGATAGGCCAAGTGAATTACAAGAATATAAGCTACTCCAACACACATAAATACAAATTGGGAAACTCATCGAAATCGATGATTCAAGTCGATGGGTCAAATACCACTCAGAGTAATTAAACATAGTTCAGGGATGTTCAGGGTTTCAGAATTGCTTGTCGCACCGCTAAGCCTCAAACTGTTTGAAGCCTCCATGTTCAACAAATGCTCCTACATAAGCATGTGGCAATACCAGAAAGGAAGATCTATTCGCCAACCCATCACCAAACAACATGAAAGTCGGTTTCCCCAAAAGGCACTGAACACAAATAATGGGCACACACAAAAATACAGCATGTTTATGCGTGTTTCATCATTTTCCCCCATTGAGCTGAGAACTTTAGAGGTTTCAAATTTCCCAGCAGCTCACCTTGCTCTGTGCAGCAGCATCTCTGCTCCCCAAATGCACCGCCGGCGCTCCCCGGCGGCCGTTTCGCAGCGGTGCAGGCGGTGCAGGCGGTGCCGTGGAGTCCGCGCACGGCACCAGGGCCTCCAGGGCCTGAGGCGCCCAACCTAGGAGCCCTGCGCTGATGCGAAGATCTGAAGGGATAAAGTCGTCGCCAAAAGTGCCTTAGTTTGGGCAAGGCTAGGCTTGGTGGGTCGATTGGTTCCTCTGAAAGGTCACCAGTTACAGTACTTCAAAATGGAGTCACGATATTCATCGATATTCCCTGACTAATAGCTGAACCTTGAAGCATAAGCCAAGCAAAGCACATCAAATGTCATCAAATATTGCAGCAAGATGCGGGTCAGGAAAAGACTCTGCAGAGGAACTTTGGCCTGGGCTGTTTCAAGCAGCACCTGCTGATCTGGCATTTTTGCTGAATTTCTATCAAAGGAGAATGTCGCTTCAGTGAACAAATATCATGACTCATCCAGAGCACACCGGAAAGCAAGTCTTGGTGGAAAGTCCTCTCCACAAGCCAGAAAAGGATGTCGGACGAGCGCATCACAGTGTCCCCTTTGAATATGTTCTACATATGTTTTATCCAACCAGGAGACCATTGGCGGTATGACAGCAACTCTTAGTGAACGATTCAAAACCCTCAAGGTGAGAGTCCAAGCGGTACAAGTAATTGCCATCCCCATCCCCATGACATTGCACCCGGGAATGTCAACCGGCCAGTACTGCCAGCGTGCCTCTGATTCAAAGCATCCCTGTTGGCAAGAGTCGCTTTGGAGCACCTAACATTGAAACACTCACCAAATGGGCTATGATGGGCACCTGTGTCAAGACGATGTTACCTAGCCAACCGGTGTTAATGTTTGCATCCAATTTTGCTGGCCAAACAATGGAATGTGACCGCTGCGATTCTGGGACTTACAATGCTCTTTGAAGTTGCCAGCCACTCACATTGAGAAATTCAATGGATTGGTTTAAGGGAAAATCTACAGGAAACAATGTTTTTTTAACCATCAAATTGATCGGTGTTTTCGAAAAAACATCCCATCATCCAATTCTATGAGAAATGGTCTCCCAACCGGTGAACCAGTTGCACCTTGGGAATGGGGCTCACATCTTTGGGATCCCAAACACTTCAATTTTCACGCGTCTACCAAATGCTAAATAAATGGAATTAAACTAATAATATATTTTAATAAAAAAATATAATATATATATATATATACATTATATCATATAAAATAGTATGCATATATATATATATATGTATATATATATATACAAATTATTATATAATTATATAATAACATATTATGTATATACACACATGCAAATCTGCATATAAATGTTGCAAATCAAACAGGTTTATTGGAGGTTCTTGGAATTCTTTGGGGCCATGGGGCGACCATCTTCCAACATCTCCGTTCCATGCTTATTCTCAGCTGGTTCGCCGCCAAGAGACCACACAATACCTGGCATGGCCAAACTTTCGGGTGGTTTCCGGTGTCCCCACGTCCACCGTGTTTTCCCGTCAAGGAGTGCCCGTAGGTTTGAAATAACTTATGAAATCACCCATGTCTTATCTATAACTTGCGGTTAACTCACAAATAAAATCGTTGAAACATATTGAACCTTTTTTTGTTTCCCCTGTGGCTATTGAAAATTGGGAAACACGACCAAGTCTGGCGTTGAACCGCTATAACAAAAAGCGATAACCAAAGTCAGTCGCCCCGGGCAAGCATTATATAAGACATCGAATTACGCTGGTGAATCTTGGTGATCATATAAAGTACAAACATTTTGCAAACAATGCCTGCAACTTAGAAACATCTGACTTGTACGTGTGGTGTCGCAACATGTCGAAAGCACAACATTGCCAAACGCAACGGTTCATCCACAAGGAATTGCGGCTTACTATCGCCAAAGGGGCTATACTTACGAACAATAACCATGTCTGTTCTTCAAATTCCTATGTTTGATAATCTTTGGATACGCCTAGTGATTCGTAACAACTAACATGTGCCTGTGCCTCTTACAGAAAGACACAATGTCATCCCTCTGCGTCCCTTTGCGCATTCCCCAATGTAAACGCAGCATTTAGGAAGTCATCCCTTTTTGTTTTTTTGATGTTCCGCCCAATGTGAACTGGAGCGTTTTCTGGCACCAAATTCAGGCAATATGCCCGGATCAGGTTGCATTTAGCTTGCGTTTTGAATGGTCCAAAGTGACTAAAGTGACTAAAGTGTTTGCACATCCGGAAATTGGAGATGCAGTTCCCCATGTTGGGTCGCCAAAATTTCCCAACAACCATTGTTGTGTCGCCTGTAGGGCCCAGCAAACCTCGTGGCGGAAAAATGCGGAAAGGCAGGTCCCACTGAGAAATGGCTGGACAAAATGCTGGTGGTTTTCTATCTATCTGAAAAATGTTATTGGTCATTGGGGATTGCCATTCCAAATAGTAGGATAGAAAGTCCACAGTATTCCAAGCTATCAACCATCTGTGAAGATTTTGAATGGTTCTGTCACCATGGCTGGGAAGAGTCCGAAAATACAAACGCGCAACATGATCACTAGCGTCAGGTACTGTTCAGGAAACTGTTTGCAACTGGTGTCTCAGCTTGGGAGACCCTTGGCAGTTTCAAGCTCAACAAAAAACAAATCAAAGATGGAGTTAGGGTTGTAGCTTCATTTTTAGTGTCAGGGCTCAAATCTAGAAACCCATCTTATCAAAGGGCACATCACCACTTTGATCGGCCCTGGGAGTAGCGGTTCCTGGTTAGTAACATCTGTTTTAACATGTGTTGACCACAATCTATCCGAATTATATATATAATTATAATGGCTACCTAATTATTCACCCACTGTTTGAATAACAAACAACAGCCCACAGCCCATCTAGATGATCCGATATGATCCGATTGGTTTCATGCCTTCATGCAGTATCCCCACAGAGCCACGGCACCCAGAGTTCTCCAGCACAACCCGCAGGGCGCCGTGCACGAAACAAATTGCACTGGTGGCGCCATGCAGCAGGAAGGTAGCAAAGCGACGGTTCAGCCAGGGCCTGCTGAACTTGTAGCTGGAACCCAGCTGCAAGGTCCAAAGGGGGGAGATACAGTTGTGAAATATCACACTTGTCATATTTTGTCCAGATCTTCCCGCTACTTTTGTTTGCCCAGTTTGATCAATACAAAATACTTCTGGACATGTCCGTCATCTTAAATCCCAAAACAACATATATTCTTTGGAACTATTGACATGCTACCCCGATCTACCCCGCAGTAATCCAACGTGGCAATGGAACATCCACATCACCATTTAGAGATTAGTTTCCCATTAAAACCTTCATGCTTGGGGGATTTCCATGGATTTCCTAACATTTATAGGGGGTTCTCCATCGTTTTCCTGTCATTAATGGTTCACTTCCCAGCCATGTTTCAGCAAACTGGAGCAGTGCCACCGAGCTGCGTGCTGGCACCATGTACCACCGTGCTGCCCAAGGGAACTTTTGCAACATCGCTGTCGGCACATGCCGCAAGGAGCGGGAACATGACACATGGCGACACATGGCCGACCAGCTGAAGTTTTGGCACAAAAATCGTGGTTGAAACATTGGCACAACACATGGATATGTGATTTTTCCATGTCCATATGGAAATTTCTCATGTATGCCTGGAAATGGGGGTATAATATACAGTAAAACATACATAAACATATGAAAATGGTCTACAAATGGCATTTTCATAGGAAAAAAAGGTATCACAAACGGGATTTCGGGCTCTTTCAAGGCACTCGCTGAAATCTTGAATCTAATGATTTGCCCATGTGCCACATCCATCTGAAACAAATGTGACAGTTGTGGATGTTTATTGTGAAGGTCCTTGTTTATACATATGCCATATACTAATATATACTATACATTTAATATCAAATATTTATCTTGGATAAATAGATGTTCAGTAGCAATCTAGAAATTTACCGTTGCCCAACCTCAGACCAGGAAAAAAACATGTCCAATTGATGGAAGGATCTTCTCTAGGATGATGACAATAATCTTCTGTACATAAACAATTCTGTAACCCCAAACAAAAATAGAACAACAATTACAGGATCTTATAGATGATGTTTGCCCCATGATTCCAAGTGTTCTACCTCCCTACATGTCAATTTTACTGAGAATCACAATCATAATCCATCAGTAATTGGGTGAACCCTTATTTTAGACTAAGTCCATTGATTGCTTTTACATAGTAATGTTATTTTCAGATTGACCCATAAGTGTGTGTGATAGACTGGTTGGGCTCCTACTAAACCTCCATTTCATCCACCGATGCCATCCGGCACCCTCTCCACCAGAAGAGGCCTCGCAGAGCATCTCCGCAGCTGCCAAGGCATTCGAAGTGAACGGTGAGGCGGCCACGAAGTGCATCGCGCGCCAACCTGGTAGAAAAACATCGCCAAGATTTGCTGGTTATTGACCTATACCGCATCTGGCATCTGGAACCCATTTGAAGTATCAAAAAAGGTGATGTATATAAGCGGAAAAAGCAACAGCGGATGATGCTGATGATGCCGAGAAATCGCAAACAAACTGTTTTAATAAGCCCCATTTGCCACAGGTTCTTTGCAAACAAACTGCAACCCATAAAAGAAACACTTCTAGCCATGATTCCTCAAAAAAAGGTAGCACGTATTTCATCGCTGGGCACACGGGCCCATGAAGTAGCCCTTGGAGATTCCATAGTTCACTGCAGGGACCAAATGCGGCAATGCTGGGTTCCTGGAAGCCACAAGGGGGCTCAGCTTGAACGCAGTGGTCGGGTTGATCTACCCAAGGTCAACCACGGGGTGTTATGCCACTTGGTGGCATGAATGGTGACCGCCGATATGACATATATATATATATATATATATATTCCATATCTCACTCCATCGCCTTCTCAAGGAGTTCAGCACAGCTAATATATTCCATGTCGAACTATAATAATTTTTGAACAAAAGGTGAAAAGGTAGATTTGGTCTGAGTATGTCTGGGTGATGGTCGACTACTCGTTGAAGGTGGAGAAGTGCTTGAAACATGTTCTAACCAACATTGTCAAACATCAATCACTTAACTCTATCAGCGGACCTGTTTTTATATATCAACTTGATGGGTGCCCACTCCAACCAGGACCCCCTTTGCACAACAAAACGCTGGACAGGGATTGGCGACCACTTTCAGTCCATACAAATGGTTGATTCCTCCATATTCCTCCTCAGTACAAAACACATGTAGGTTCTGTCACAGTTTTGACTTTTTAAGTTCCTTCATCTAAAAGTATCCTAAAGGTAAATCAGCATGTCGACCTGATTGCAGTGTTTTTGGATTCGATACGGATCATTTTCCGAAGCATTTTCCGTGGGTTTCACCTTGGGCGCTGTCCTCAAAGCATTCCCGAGCGGATGATTGAGGGCCTTGATCGATGTGAACATCACCCCAAACAACAAGGAACAATTTCTTCATTGCGATTGGCAAATTTCTACAACATTGATAGGTGCACATAGCGTATAATATATATCCAAGGGGCTACGTTTTGGAACCCCTATCGAGTGTTCTTTAAGGGGCTACGTTTCGACACCCCTTAGCCGAACCAAAAAAACACAAAAGGATATGGTGATAACGATGTTCATAGCACCATTTTTGGGAGACATGGTTGGAGACGAGCTGAACAACAAAAACTTTGATTTTGAGGAATTCCGACACGTAAATGACACGCGACTCCCTGGTAGCGACACACTGCCGACACGCATTAAGGGGCGCCAGAACGACACCCCCTTAGCCTAAAGGGGTGGCGTTTTGGCACCCCCTGCACATCCACCCGACACGCAAATGACACGTTTGACACGCGCCATTTTTGGGGTGCCAAAAATAAAACTCAAAAGCATTGTTTCAGTGGCCTCAGATAACAAAGATGAAATGTATATCCCAGATGACCCCAAACAGGTTGAGAAACACCTTAGAAATAAAGGGGCGCCATTTTGACACCCCCTCCCTAAGGGGTGCCATTACGGCACCCCTTGGCATGTGCTGGTATGTATGTATATATATATATATATGTGGATATGTAAAAATTCGCATGTTTCGTCTGAAATCAAAAGAAAACAAAACAATTCGTCGGTGGATCGCTCTGAGTCTGATCATGTCTTGTGAAACCGTGATGGCATCACTAAAAAAAATAATCAACGGCGTGTTGATCAGAAATTCCGAAACCACCACAAACGCATGTCTGAAAAGGGTGTGCTACCAGAAATTGTCAATTTTAAAAGGGAGGTGAATGGACATTAAAATAAGCAAGTGGAGTTAGGGTTGCCCCGTTTGTAGACAAAACAATGCAAACCTTTTAGCAGTTCCGTGCAAAATAGCGTCAACTAGCTACATACCCCTTGCCTCCCTGCAATTCATTAGCGAACAATCGTCGTCACCATTGCAATCCGAAAATTACTGTTTTAAAACCAGGCAGCGGCGTTTTTCAGCAAACCAATGTGAAATCTAGGAAGCATCCTCCCAAACAATTTGGGAAAAAGAAAAACCATAAGCTGATGTTCAAGATGTGATGGAAAAACATTACAAGGTTTGAAGCACACAGATCAACCAAGTCAATGGGATGATTGTACGATCGCCACCTGAGGTCCTAACATCCTTCAATGCTCCAAGGTCGAACTGTGGCAATTCTCCTGCATTTCTCAGGGCGTCATTTTTGTGTTCTGAAAGCAGCTACCATGTGGTCCATGCAGAGGAAGAAATCGTCGTTTCCCTCTCTGATCGTTTAGGTTGTAGGTTTTTCAAACGATCAGGTTTCGGATTCGGAGGTTCAATGTGGATAGAAAATGCGAATGGCGGTCTTGTCGTAAAATCAACATGTGTACTAAAACTATACTATACGGTGGAAAAAAATCTGGTCAACCACGACTCAACTTCCCGGGCCCCGCTCTCTCAAAGTCTTAAGCAAGTACTTTTCCCATCATGCAACATTAATTATTTACGATCGCTTGCCAACTGACGGTTGAAGATCATGAGCCAGAAAAAAATCCATGCCCATCATGAAACGAGGAAAAACTTGCTGCTTCTCTTGGCGGGTTCCACACCACAAATGTTGAGATTGATGTGGACACCATGTGCTCTGGAAGATGTTCGCGCACCAATGCGGGCAGCAAACGGCCAAACAAATCATGTAGACGGCCATCTTGCCACTCGGGAGAATTGCGTTCTACAGCCCGCTAAATCATGGGTTTGGTTCGGCCAGCAGTTTTCCAAATTTTCCGGTGTTTTCCATGGATTGCCACGTTTCTTAATCTTGAAGCCTTGAACAAAGCAGGCCTCAAACACTGAATGGGCATGAGTCAGCTGAGAGGCGGCACAATAACTAATTATTCTATTGTGAGTGCCTAAGGTTGACCAAATCTCCGAACCCCTGGGTTGAACATGTTTTCAGCACCAAAAACATGTTGCCCGCCGAGCGCTTCTTGAAGCTGTTGCCTCGCTATGGAAGATGTCCTCCAGCAAATGTGTCAAGTTCATTTCCAGCAAACGATCGCGACAGCACGTTCAGCATCCATTCATGGTATGGCGCGTGGTTGCTTGTAACGCTGTTCTCCTGAAGCCGCCTTCTAGCACCTCTAACAGGTTCCCATTCCATTGGACATCCCAGGTCCCAGGTGAAAAACATCGAACTATCTCTCACTTCCATCCTCTGCATTGCTTAAAGGAAGTGTATAAATGTATCTGCCATGCCCCTTGGTGGAATTGATGTTCTCAGATCTTTTGTCCTCATGGGTGAGGTGCCAAAAGAACGGAAGGACCCTCTTTATTTCTAAGATTAAGGACAGGGACACAACAAAGAAAACACAGGTTTATGCATGGCACATACATCCCCCCGCCATTCCGCATGGAAAAACAGAAGTGGCAAATGTCCAGCTAGAAAATTGGCTCTGAACATTGATGCCGGGACCTTCCATTTTGGTGTGATAGCGGCAGCAGGGATGGTACCATATACCATTTAAATAGCTGAAAGGGAATGCAACTCTTCACGCCAGTATGCGGAAATTTTAGAAACATTTTACACCCATGGAATATCATAGAGGGTCATGCGTGCAAATACTTAACATGCAAAATTTGGGATGTTGTGAAGCTTTGACAGTTGGTACACTACTCCCCCACAAGAAAAACTAAGAGATCATTCAATATAATAATCAACTTTGACCTTTGAACTACGAAACTACTGAACTGCACGATAGTATCCAACAAACGGCAAAAACAAACGGGAGTTGATTAATTACATATTAACTATTAATGATCGCTGCATTTGCTTGTCCTTTAAACGCCGCATCACAGCCGAACAGTCAAATCAGGGCTGCACCACTGGAAGTGGCATGCAAGTCAAGCCACCATTTTCACTATGGCTTCAGGAAAACAGGCTTGAACAAAAAATGCCAAACGCCGTCTGCAAGTCACAGTTATATCATTCGATTAATAAATGCCAGTTGATCCATATCTATGTGCACGGTATTGGAACAAAGCTTCCACCTTATTTGTACATTCTATCAAACCAATCTTGAAAGGACAACCCAAATTGTCCTTATAGTTGGTTGAACGAAACTGCCTAGAAATACTTCTCAGAAACATCTTGCAATTAGTGGAAGCCCAATAGCAAACCCATATTCCCATATATTCTCCATGTTCCAGAAAGCTCTGAAGCAACAAAGCCTGAAGAAACAACGGTAGCAACAATGCTGAATTTGAAAACACATAGTTTTAGCACCAATCACCAATCCAACTAGCACCGGCCCACCGAGTCCTTGAAAATCAAAAAAAAAACGACGCTGATTTTTTGGCATCTTCTAACATGTCAACAAGACCCAGCCCGTTGCCGGTTCAGATTCTAGTATCAACGAGATTCAACGAGTGGTTCTTTGTTTTTCACCAACCTAAGCCTCCCTAATCAACACCAATCGACAATGGCTGCACCTTCAAAGACTCCACGCACCGCCTGTCATGGGCATTATGGGCATGTCAAATATCTGGCAGGAAAAGGGTCAAAGTACCCATGTCAACCCGTGACGAATAAACTCCAATTGCTGAGATTTGGGTTCAACCACCCACGGTGATATTGATCTCACATCCAAGAGAATTTCAATGGGATCATAAATAACGACCTAGACATGAAAAGAACACAGCAATTTGCCGCGTCTATTTCCTGGTTGGTGTTTTCAACCCCCTCTGAAAAATATTGGTCAGTTGGGATGATTATTCCCATATATTATGGAAAATATTAAATGTTCCAAACCACCAACCCGTGTCTATAATTCCTTTAGGACACCACCGTTTTCCACACACATCATCAGCTCCTGGGCTTCCAACCTAGCCTGGATGATCATCTCACCATGTTGGCGACGCGTGATGCCATCTTGACCTGGGAAGAACACCATCCCCAAATGGATAGCTATGGATCACCATAGCCCATTCATGGAGTATTTAAAGTATTTTATTTGTTTGTTTGCAACATGGTTCCATCATCCATTAAATATTGTGTTGTCGTTGTCGTTGTCGTTGTTGTTGTTGTTGCCGCTGTTGCCGCTGTTGCTGCTGCTTTTACTGTTGTTGTTGTTGTTGTTGCTGTTTTTGCCGTTGTTGCCGCTGTTGTTGCTGCTTTTGCTGTTATTGTTGCCGTTTTTGCTGCTGTTGTTGCTGTTGTTGCTGCTGTTGTTGCTGTTGTTGCTGTTATTGTTGTTTTTGCCGTTGTTGCCGCTGTTGTTGCTGCTTTTGCTGTTATTGTTGCCGTTTTTGCTGCTGTTGTTGCTGTTGTTGCTGTTGTTGCTGTTGTTGTTGCTGCTGCTGTTGTTGTTGTAGATGTTGTTGCTGTTGTTGTTGTTGCTGCTGTTGCTGCTGTTGTAGCTGTTGTTGCTGCTGTTGTTGCTGTTGCTGCTGTTGCTGCTGTTGCTGCTGTTGTTGCTGTTGTTGCGGCTGTTGTTGCCGTTGCTGCCGTTGCTGTTGCTGCTGTTGCTGCTGTTGCTGCTGTTGCTGCTGTTGCTGCTGTTGCTGTTGTTGCTTTTGTTGCTTTTGTTGCTTTTGTTGCTTTCGTTGCTGTTTGTTGCTGTTGTTGCTGCTGTTGCTGCTGCTGTTGTTGCTGTTGTTGCTGTTGTTGCTGTTGTTGTTGCTGCTGCTGTTGTTGTTGTAGCTGTTGTTGTTGTTGCTGCTGTTGCTGCTGTTGTAGCTGTTGCTGCTGCTGTTGTTGTGCTGTTTGCTGCTGTTGCTGCTGTTGCTGCTGTTGTTGCTGTTGTTGCGGCTGTTGTTGCCGTTGCTGCCGTTGCTGTTGCTTCTGTTGCTGCTGTTGCTGCTGTTGCTGCTGTTGCTGCTGTTGCTGCTGTTGCTGCTGTTGCTGCTGTTGCTGCTGTTGCTGCTGTTGCTTTTGTTGCTTTTGTTGCTTTTGTTGCTTTTGTTGCTTTTGTTGCTTTTGTTGCTTTTGTTGCTTTTGTTGCTTTTGTTGCTTTTGTTGCTTTTGTTGCTGTTGTTGCTGCTGCTGCTGCTGCTGCTTCTGCCGCTGCCGCTGCTGCTGCTGCTGACGCTGCTTCTGCTGCTGCTGCCGCTGCTGCCGCTGCTGCCGCTGCTGCCGCTGCTGCCGCTGCTGCCGCTGCTGCTGCTGCTGCTGGTGTTGTTGTTGTTGCTGTTGTTGTTGTTGTTGCTGGTGTTGTTGTTGCTGTTGTTGTTGCTGTTGCTGTTGCTGTTGTTGTTGTTGTTTCTGCTGTTGTTGCTGCTGTTGTTGCTGCTGTTGTTGCTGCTGTTGTTGATGATGATGACGATGGTTGTTTTCTCACATATGGATTACCATGGTTTTAGTATTGTGGTGTATCACAATTTATTTTTAAATTATCTAGGTTCATCATGGATATTAAAGCTGGTTGCGGTTTGCTTGTTGTGCACTATTGGGGTTTAGCATTTGGTTTGCCACATTATCAAAAATAGACAACATAAAAATAGGTAAGTCCAGACTTTGGATAATTCAGCACTTTTGGAACTACTGATTACACGTCGACATGAACTGACTTGGACACTTAAGAAACAGCCGCCCCATTTCGGAAGCGATGGCATCCGAGCTGTCGCTCTGGTAGCCCAGCCATGTCCCAAGGCTTCGAGCTGTCCTCAGCCAGTTGGAGATTGATGGTTTGCTTCACCTCCGCAATTTCCGCCTGCGCAATGTTGGCAATGCTGGCAATGCTGGCTTAGCTTCTATACTTATAATATCTGATAATACCTTATAATCATCAAGGGTCAATGTGGAATCATCAACTGCAATGTCCTATCATGACTAAATGTACAGTACATTCTAATTTGGATGGTTTAATATGGTTTAATCATCAATGATCATGTCCTATCTGATGCCGGCTTGCGAAAGAATGAGCCACTTTTGGAACATCCAAACTCTAAAAAGCTACGAAGTCAACATCCTGGAGCTAGACGACCTTTAAAAAAAACGCCACCAGAAGGCGATTTGGAACGCTGGGATTGAATCCCTTGGATCCCGGCTAAAGCAGTGACCAGAGACCGCCCAAGAAACCATTGCAAGGGACACATAGGGACACAAGTATGGTGGCAAACCTGAGACACCAATGGTCACATCCATGTTTTCTGCACTCACGTTCCAAGGCAAAATGATTCTAAACACCTAATCTGTTCTATGCAGTTTAAACCCCCGCCAAGAAGCCATCAGCCCCCCGGCACCTGTGGAGGATACGCAATGCCTTGAATCACCGGCAAAATGCCAAGCCTTAGCTGAAGGAAGCTGAGCTGAGCTGAATCACTTCAGCATCTCAGGATTACCTTGCTGTATGTGATTCCCGGTTACACCGCGGTGTCCAAACATCGTATCTGAAATCGTATCTGGAAACTTGAACTAGAGAAGGCTAATGAATAATAATGAATAATTAATATTAATGCAAGTTTTTTATCCCATGCAACCACATCAGGACCCCAGTCAAATTAAGGGAATCCTGATTTCTACAAGTGTTACTGTCTTTGATGGGACGCCCCCACGATCCGATCCACCCCACGACCAGGGCGACCAGGGCACATGTCGGGTCTACAACGCCTTGGCGAAAACGATAGCAGCACTAAGGAAAACATGACCACTGTATCCAGATCCCAGAGCACACTTGAATAGCCAAGTGGACAGTCACCAACAGGTCAAAGCTCTAAACAAATCTAGAAACAAATTTGATTAAAACAAAAAAACATATCACGCGCCACGCGCATTCCAGAATGTTCTCACACCTTGGTGAACCCCAAATTTGCACACCGGAAGACATCTCGGTGCAATTGTTCAACATATGCAGTGCCAACTTCTGCATCCTAACTTTTGCATGCCGTTCAGAGATTAATGCATTGCAATTACGACCGCAATTACGACCAAAGTCTGGCAAGTAGATGTAACAATGGGTGTTTCATTCATTTTTTTTGCGTAATTTACACGTTCCTCCTGGTATCTCCTGCCAACTATATATACATGTATATGTATATTATGATGTATTTAAATATCTGAATTTGTCTCAAAGTGAGATATACTTAAGTTAAATTGCAACTTTAAGATATACCATGCGCACACACACACACATATTGTATAATAAATGTATAATATATGTATATATATATATATATGCGGACAATTCTACGTGGGAAAATGATGGAACATGATGATGTCATGATCCCAATTATCTTTCCGTAGCGCACCTCACAGCTCGTTGGTAGAGGCCCAGCTCATAAGCCTCAGACAGTCGTGGGATGTTAACAGCTGGGGATCACTGAGTCGCCCATACTGAAGCCCCCGGGCCCACCAAGACCAGAGTTGCTCCGGGATCTCAGTTTTTAACTCCTGGGATTCAAGGTCTAGGACCTGGGGACCTGGAAAAGCAGCACCGGAGTGGTGGGTAAAAAGCCACACTGGATGCCATTGGAACCACTTAGAAGCGGTGGAGCAGTGGACCCCGTGTCAAGCCAAGTGAAGCAGCGCAACTAGGATTTATGGTGCACATATCATGATATGTATTTATATCTATGAATCAATGGGTGTTATACACCAATTTAACAATGGGGGCACCAGCTTCTACCATGATGCACTCAAAATAACTGTGATTATTCCCTCCATGTTGAACAAACACAAAAACGGCCGACTGACGACTTGTTGTACAGTCGCGGTCTTGTAACCAAAACACTTTAACCAACTGAAACATCATCCACAATAGCCACAAGGGCGTGGCCCCCCCCCCTGGCCCCCCCCCGGGTCCCCCCCCTCGGTTCGTCTAAGTCGGTCTACAAGCACCAGTTACTTCGTAGAATTTAAGACTTGAGATATATTTTACATATCTATAAATAAAAATACTACACATATATATATATATATATAGAAAAAGTAGTAATGAAAAAAGGTAAAAAATAATGATATATATGTGTATATATATATAAACATACATATATATATATATATATGTACATATGGATTTTTAGTAATATAAATGTATATATGACTCTGACTGTAAAATACATTTAAAACAATGTATACATATGGATATTTAATAATAATAATAATAAAAATAATAATAAAAAATAATAATAAAAAAAATAATATATATATATACATATCAGCATGTTAACAATTCATATATATATATACATATGGACATAAACAAATATAAATATATGAAAATAAACATAAACTAAACATATATATATATTATATATGTGAATATTTATGGGTATATAGTAATCAAAACATATTGTTTTTCTTGATAAATTAACATATATATATATATATATATATATCGACCTTTCACCAACAGTTATATGACCAACCTATCCCCAGGCCCAACTCGGCACCCCATGTCCCGCAGGACGCTCAAGTCATCCACAGCGCAGCCGATGAACATGGCCTCCTGTAGGCGATGCAACCTGGCGATCTCAGGTCAAGTGATCTCACCATTTGAATTGTTTTATATTGTTTACCCTCTGGTAAACTAACATAGCTATGGAAAATCACCATTTTTAATGGGAAAACTCACTATAAATGGTCATTTTCAATAGCTATGTTTAATTACCAGAGGGTAAGGGGCATGGTTTTACATACATATATAGCATCTCTATATATACTTAAATTCAAAAACAAAAATAATTCGTTGTGTATAATTATATAAATGTGCATGATATGTATGGTTAAATCATGGTCAAACACGTAGGTATGATTCGCCATGATTATTTGTATATATGTAATCATTGTGTATGGTAGTTTAAATGGGATGAGTTAGAGGTCAACAAATGTGAACCTGCAAAAGAAAAGAACTCATACTATATGTAACCACACAGGGACGTTAACATGTATGTCGATGTATGGTTGAATCATGATAAATCACCAGTGTCCATGGCTGCACATATCTACATATACGAATATAATGTAATCATAATCCATCATCATCAACATTGCAAGATGTTCCTTTATGGCCCTATGACTGCGTCCAGAGATGGGTGGTACAAACATCGAACTGAAAGATAGTAATTAATTCATCGACCAGGGAAAAAGTCACTTTGGATGATTCCCTCTAAGCATAGTCTATGGTAAAGTCACGGTGACGACCTTATAATTTCGCCAAACATGCACAAACCTGGGGTATTGCCATAATTAACTATAGCCTAACAGGCTATACTGTAATAGGTATGGCCATGGTTAACCGTTAACCATAGGTATTGCCATAGCTTTGATCACAGCCATTGACATGGAGTAAGTGTGCCATTTAAAACAAGTAAAAAAGAAGGGACTCAGAGTTTTAGTAACAAACATAAAATCAACTTCCTCCAGCTGAATCAACCAACAATGAGCCAAATTTCTGCGAAGGTTTGGGTTTGTCTGACAACGGGGTACCCCTGAACTAGTGCATCACACACGTTCCATCATTTTCCCGCTAAAGTTGCCATATAGGGATAACCTATTTTCAGATCCACACATTTCCCTGTTCCCGCGCCACCCCGCACCCCGTCGCCCAAAAAAGGGGGCACCTCAATTCATATCTTCTGCCGGCGGCCAGGAACAGCTTCCGCCACCGGGGAGGGCAGATGATCCTCCACCAAATCCCAAGAGCTTTCGAACTGAGAAAACTATGGAGGGACTTTCCAGCAAGCCATGTTTAATTACCGGAACCCATGGGTCAAAGGGCGTGTCTGAAAATTGGAGTGTGCACCAGCCATGAGAAAAAGGGACAGCTTCATGAAAAAGCATCAAAATTGAAGGGATAGGGAAGTTGTTGCATGGGTTGCACACTTGGCTGTGTTTATGGTATGCCCTCTGGTAATTGTTACCGTTTGTGGACTGGAAGCCGGTGCCCTTTTAGTTCGTTGATGTATCAGATTGCAAACCGTGATTTTCCATAGCAATCTATTTAAATTACCAGAGGGTAACCTTCTAATGAGTCAAGACCGAAGACCTAATAAGATTGGGCAGCCCAAAAAATGATAAGTGAATGGCACTGACTGAATTCTATGCCCAAAGAATGCAGGTAATTCTGCAAGTATGGCATTTTCAACCACGCAACCAAATGGTTTGAGAACCTTTGAGCGGCACACCCTCCTGTACACGTTGGAACGTGTTGAGGCAAAAGGTGCGAAATATTCCACCCCCTGTGTTCGGCAGCAGGGTAAGACATTTGCATCAATAATTAATCACCATTGATCGGCATCAATCACCATTAGTCATACATTTGCATCAATAATTAATCATCCATTCATCCATTCTATGAGGATTTCCCAAGGTTTACCCACAGTATGTTAAACAAAGGATATGCTCAGACATGCTGAGACCTAACACGGTCAATCCCAAAAACTATTGACCTTCCATTCACCACTTGGCTTGCCAATGTTTTGAGCAAAGCCTCCACAAATACAATAAGTTTATCATTATATGTCACTGGGGATTGAAACAGTTTCTACCTTTATGCAGGTTGCTGCTTAAGTCAGTATATCATAGTACAAACATGTACAAAACTATACTTGTTGTTGATTTCCCGCTAAATCCCTATCGTTTTGGCTTTGAAAACCTGTGTCTGAATACGCAATGTAATACAGTAATTCAACATCATGCCATTCCCATTGTTCCAGTGACGGTGAGGTCGTTGTAATTTATCCAAATGGAAAATACGTTGGGCAGCGGATAGATTCCCCAGTGAACTATCGCATCAGATTTTGTTTTAAAACAAATCATCAGCAAAGCGATCTTTTTGCTGGCAAAACCAATGTTTAATCCAAAATGAGCACTGTTCAAAAGGATCTGTTGTCCCTTCATATCAGTACTGGCTGGCCAAAAGAATTTCCCAGCTCATGAATGTTGACAATCCCCAATAGAATGGGGCAGTCTGCCATCCGGTCGTTTAACAAAACTATGACTATGGAAAATCACTTTTTTTGAACGAATCATCGAACTATAAAAATTGGCCATGGCTTCCATTTCGAAACTGAAGCAAATTACCAAAGATATAAAACCATATTATATAGAATGAAACAGAACTATAACATACTTTAACCCCTACATTAAACAACCGATATACCACCTGCTAATATACCATGTATGGGAGGAAAAAAAAAGGAAACACACAATATTTACCCTCCGGTGATCAAAAGTGGCAATGGCAATTGAAAATGCCTCTTGATAGATGATTTTCACATGAAACCCTCAATTTGTAAGGGGTTTTCCAGCTAGCCACGTTGATTGCCGGAGGGCATGTGAAGCATCTACAAAAGGGCCATGAGTCTCGCGCGTCCTCAACTTCACCGCATGGAAAAGCTGGTCCACTGTCAAAGTGGCCGACATCTGACGCTGCTCCTGCATCATGCAGTCTGCCGTGGACCCTCGAATTTGCGGGAGTGTGCGATTAAATGTTCAAGGACATTGTGAGGACTTGTTCAGAATCCTGGATTTTAAGAGTGTTGAAATGTTGAAATGTTCAAAGAATTGAGGGCTTGGATTGTAGTGAAGGCATTTTAATAATTTGTTGAAAACATGATCATGCATTTTTGGACTGCATTCTCTCTCAAATATGTAATATGATCAACACGGAGGGAAACACAAAAAATATCAAAAAATAATAGTCCGTTCTTGGATGTTCTTGGGCGAATCCAAGGAAAGCTAATAGAACATTGGCAGGAAGTCATGGCCAATCCAAGCCAATATAAGCCATGCAAGGGTCCAGTTCTTGTAGATTTCTATCTATTTGTTCAAGTCCTTAAATTTACTCGGAAGATCTTGGAAGATTATCCCTTATCCCAGCTAGTAGGTGCCTATAATTATATAGCCTGGTCAGTAAATCATACAGCTGGAGTCGAGTTATCCCATGTGGTAGCCGGGTAGCCATTAGCTCATTAGCCAGTTTCTCAGTGGAGTGATCATTGACGTACCCTTTGGCATTCTCATTTTACAAAGTTAAATGGGAACTCCATAGAACTTCGACAGCAACAAGTCATCTACAAAACAATTCATGTAGCATAGCTTGCGCCATTGTAAAGATGTTGTTTGGCAAAGGGTATCTGGATGGTAGTTTCGCTGCGCTCCATGCATTGTCACTCTTGCGTCAATGTGAATCCTGCAAAAACAACTGGTATTCCAGTACTGGTAGCAATGTTTCATCCCAACCATCATGGCATGATGCTAAATCATGCTAAATCCATGTGATGCACTTGCAATGAAAATATGTTGGCAATCATGTAATGGGACAGTCACTAACATCATGAGTCCTCAAACTACATTACACTATATCTAAAGATTACGTTCAGTAACTCGGTACCACACTACACCACAAGTACATGGCTTTGTCAAGAGGGAACCCCAAAATCCAGTGACTTTGAAATACTTTGAATGTGTTTCCATGCGTTTCCCCAACTTTTTTCCTGGCGGGGCGTCCTCTGACGTGACGCTGGGTGGCGTTGGCGGTGTGTCTGCCAGCAGCCAGTCATCCTGGAAGCTGCGGATTTTGGCTACGACTCTGAGTTGTGAGTTATGTCTTCCGTTTACTCCGTTTACCCATCTTCCGCGTTTGTTTTCGAGATGGAGAACTCTTGGTCATAGAACTAGCCTGCTACAAAGATGACAGCACTTTAGGATACTTTAGGCTGCATGATTTTTGATATTTTTTGACGTACGTGCAATCTTGATCAATATTGTGCATGCTATTGCAATCCATGGCACGTAGAACATTCCCCACGGCCAAACTGGGGGATTGTGACGCCATCATGGATGCTGCAAAATATGTGGTAAACCAGGCGATGTGGCAAAGAACTGAAGCTGACTATGGTTCAAAACTCCCACACATTCTGAAATTGGGACTTGCGAAAAATCAGCTGCCAGCTGGTCAACAAGCAGCATTATCTGTCTGAACCATTTGTCTTGTAATTATTGTATTTTCATCTATTTTCCCCGCTCTTGAGATGTGTGAAGTGCTGCATGCCACATCCCAACCACCTCATCGTGTGTTGTGGCATTGCTTTCTCCTTCATTCCTGACCACGGCGCTTTAAGCATCCAATAGGCCAACCACATGTTAGACATATATAACACCACCCAGAAACAGATTGTAATCCAGAGTTGGGTTGGAGATTCATGATCGGGCCTGCCATCGAAATTAGATATATACTGCATCAGTTCGTTGACCTTCTTCAACATAGGTGTCACCTGAAGCATCATGCTAAAGCAGCCCTGTGATCTTACTTGGGGCTTCCATGCCACCAATGAACCTGGATGTGAGGTTTGGCCATGTTTGGCCCAATCAACCCCAATCTGGGTAGGCAGGCAATTAATTCTCTGAGACACTCGCAACTTTACTAGGGAAAAAAAGACTTCCCCGAACACATACAGCGACCAGCCACTGTCAATTTCGATACTTCGTACTATAGAGTCTGAATACAAGGTGGTGCCTCCCACTTGTGGATTAGCTAAAAAACACTATTCATACGAGATATATATAATATATATTTATTCATGTATATAATATATATATATATATGTATAATATATATATATATTATAATTATCTATACCTATACCATAAACCCCAGTGAACCTACTTCCAAAACCAACTGAGCTAACGAACTGGGGCAAAAACCAGCCACCTCTTGGCAGTCTCTGAGGCGGGGATCTCTAAGGTCCAGGCTTGAAGTTGGCTGGATTCAGACTTTGCTTCACCGGCCGAGGAGGGATGCGAGCCTGCGCGGACGGCTTTTTTTTGCTCAAAAAAGGCAAGAAAAAGGCCCGGAAAGCCCTAGATTTGGGTGTAAAATCCAAGTAAAAACATGGTAAAAACCGGGGCTTCCTGTAAATCCTTCCTTAAACCAATCCAGTGAATCAATAATTGGCACTGAAGAACATGGATAGCCAAGTCGAGTTGGATCCTGGAACAGGGTAACCTCCGGTAATCACACTAGGCAAGGGGAAATCCCCGAATTTTCTAAATTCAAATAGGGCCACAATCTACGAATGGGAGGTGTTCCGTTGCCATGTTTGACTACACTTACCAAAGGCTCAAAGGGAAGTCTGGCAATATGGGGGTTTCTTAGTCTTATGGTGGATCCCAAAAACAATGGATTTCAATACAAAAATGGTCAAATGATGTCTAGTGACTGGATGATTTGGGGGTACCCCCATGACTTTGGAAACCCCCATATCCTCTCGTAGACCTGGCATAGCGTATGAGAAAGTTGACCACTGGTGCTTGACCTTCGCCAATATCGCCGAGCCAGTCTTGGTGGAGATTTCCGCGGAAAAACATTTTTTTCCAACGACCACATAACGACCACAAATCCTCCCTGGTTGCGAAACGAAATCGCCAAACAACCCAAAACCCAACACCTTCTCCATCCTCAGTCATGGCCCATCTGCCGGTTGGATTAGCTCCCATGCACCCGGCTGGAGCCAGAAAGGCGGCCGGATTTCTCCCTGTCCAGTGCCTGGGGCCTCAATGGGAAGGCCAAAGCCATCATCCAAAACTGGTAATTGGGAAACCTCCCCTAAGCTTGGCCAATGTGGTTTGGAGCATCAAATTGCAAGCAATGTGCAAGCAGGATTTCACCAGGTCAAGGTCTGGCACATTCTGAAGTCTTCGATGAAGCATCCCATGGGCTATGGCTACTTCTTTCTAAGGGAAAAAACTGGAGTCCTGACATGAGTGGCTTACCAAGGACTTGTTGAAAATCTATAAGATGGACCCCAATTGCAGTGATATATCATCTGTGGTTGGCGGCTAGTCGGACTACGACAAATGACAAGTCAAATTCTTCCCAAAGGGAATAAAGTGCTACTTCTGCAGGTTGGTGATTCTGACCTGTTTCAATCACATTGGTCAATTGGGAGCAGTCATATTCATTAAAAAAAGAAGCATGTCTTCAAGGACAAACAGGTGTCCCCGAATAATTGTTCAACGCAAATCAACAATCCATACCCCAAATATCAAAAATCCCTCCTTCCTATATCGTTTTATGACTTAAAGGAAGCCGTTTAATCTTCGGGGGAAGGGATTAAATATGATAACATGGGTCCCACCGCATGCCAAGCAAACACCACCCCACCAGGTCCCACCCTCAGCCCTCCCAGGTGGGCCACGATATCATCTTTGCCGGGAAACACGGCGGGGGATGTCATCCAACATGGTGGCAGGGCAGCATGCGATTTCAAGCAGCTGACGCGGTAGACCGACATCTGAGAATCTGAGGTCCCTGGGTCATTATATTATGATGACTTTTTCTTGTTGAAGCCTGGCCAAAGCCAGCATTGATTTCAAAGATGACACACTATCAATAAATCTTTTAACGGCCGCCAACCCTGCTTGATAAAAGACCTGCAAATGTCCATGGCATATGGAAAGGACAAATGCATGGACATGGGGTTGCATTTGCCGATTTGCCAACTGAGGGCTCTTTCTATTCTTCCTAGATCTTCCTAGGCCAATATTCAGGGACTGTGACATTGAGGCCGCAAGGCCGTTCGAACCACATGCTGCCATGCCAAATGGGGAGGCCGTGGGCGCCACTTTTCGGCTCTCCACTTTTGCCCATCGAATTAGCGGAGGGAAGTCTGCGTTGTGCAAATCAGTGGCGGATCATTCCAAGAGGGGCCTATGACTCAACATGATTCAACCATCAAACATGGATATAACATGGATATATGATGGGAGTATGGGATATACATATATATTTATATATATATATAGCCAACTTCACTCAACTTTATGATTTGACGAGGAGATCTTGGCAGCCAAGACTGTCTCAAACTTAAAAGAATCCCCCCTCTGAAGGTTGGAGAACCACGTCTAAAGGAGTATCCCTTAACCTTACAGAAACACCATACCAGTGATTATCCTTGAAGATAGTTCGTGACAGGTTCGGTCATATACGCATAGGATTCTAGTTGGGTTACTTGGGCTAGTCGGGTTGCATGGCCCATGTCAGGAAAAACATGTTCTCAGGGCTCTTAACAGTCGCAGTAATGATCAACTTACCAACTTCCAAGAATCCTTTTGGACGAATGGTGACTTCGAAACAGCTGACTACGTCTGCGCCGCCGAAATGTTCGGACCCCCGCTCGTCATGCCGATGGCTCATCGCAACAAATTACAGCAAGGAACGATGAGGGGGTTGGGTCAAGTTGTTCCTCCCCACACTGGCAAAATACTTCGTGGTTGCTACATGACGAACTTCAGTTTGCATCCGGAGATCGTTCAGAGATTTTGACCCAAAGCCATGTGTTGGTGCACTTTCGCAGGTCAGCCATGCTCTCATATCTATGGAATCTATGGGCAAATGCCCAGGCAACGTTGAGGTCTTGCATTGAGAAGTGAGGAATCTTTGCTACCTGTCATTGCTCAGAGAAAGGCGATCATCGCCTTCCACTTTGAAACCAATTTCATAAGCGGCAAGAACCGAAGTACTCGACCAGATATGCACCGGTAACTCAATCAAAATGCGTTTCAATATGTTTCAATATGTTTCAATACTTTCAAACACATGCGCAAGGCGGCCCCCCAGCTATAACCTCATTTAAGCATAGTTGTATATAATTGGCATGAAGCGGAGCTATTGGAGATATAAACCAACTTGGCTATCTTTGAGCCGAGAAGTGTGCAAAAACAAGAACAAAATCCTGCCATATTCAAAGCTCTAAGATGTAGACTAAAGCTTCGGGCTCCAAGTTCGCATTGCAGAAACCGCCTTATGTTTCTTCCCAAAAAATGGTCTTCGCCGGTCTGCATTAAACCACATTCTAACTTACAGTCCGGCGGTATAACTATGAAAAAGTAGTGGATGCTCGGCACACCTCGACTGGCCCGCATTAATCCACACGGGATAAATCGGAGTAGGGAGCAACCAAATCCAAAAGTCGGCATCAACTAAATGCTGAAGGCATCTAAAAACTTCTGCTTCGGTGTGAACTACATCAAGTATCATTAAGTTACATCTACCCTCTGGTAGACTAACATAATTATCGAAAATCACCATGTTTAATGGGAAAATCCACTATTTCTATGGCCATTTTCAATAACTATTTGTATGTTTACCAGAGGCTACACGGAACAAGAGAGCTGGGAGACTGGAGATTCATCGCTATGCTTGAGCTGCCCCGGGCCGTGGCGACCAGCGAAAATGCAATGCGATTCTTGGATCCTTGCAGTGCCTAGGCCCTCAATTTTCAAAACAAAACTGGAAACAAAGCAACAAAGAGTGAGACTAATGTAGAAAGATCCAAACCAGTCACCAATCATATTGTACCTGATTTTGATGATTTGAGGAGGGTCGTAAACTCAAACCATTCGAAGCTGTTACAGTCCAGTCCTAAGTTTTGGGTCATTTAAGTTTGCCACACTATCATGGTTGTATATGCATGATTATGTATGTGGATGTGAAATGATGTGCGATTGTATGGGCATATGGAGTGTGTACATGTGTTTGCTTATTTGTTCTTTGGTACTTCGAAGGCCTAGGTGCACGCAACTCCCTGAGTGACAGTGCCATGATTGATTTCTACCACGGCACTGCAAGATTTGCGCGCTATGGATTTTCCATATGTTCCATGTCTGGTATAGCAGGAGCAATCATCCCTTCCCCCTAGAAAATCATCTGCAGTATAAAATCCTCCCAAACAATAGAACAGCAAAATCCATCAAAATACTAATATATCTGGGGTGGTGTTAGCATAGTCAAATAGTACTTTTTGTTTCTTTGAAGTTGTGATCTTGAACCCAAAAAAATCAGCCATAATCACATGATTTATAGCGATTATCCATATAATCCATTATCAATGTAATCCCAAAACCCAAAAGCCTATGACCCATGGCAATTTTTCGATTCGTGGGATATTATTATTATTTACTAAAATAATTCATCAATAATAATGGATCATAATGAATGGTATCATATCTTGATAGGATGACAAGTCATTTGACCCAATGTGGGAGGAACCATCAACCGAGTATGATGTAATAAGGAAGACCTGGTCACCCAGCAGCAGGAATTATCAGTCACTGTTGTTACAAGAATCCGTTCCCATTTCTGGTGCCCATCAATCTGAATTGCAACCAGTTTAACTATGAATTGTTCAATCATAATTTGCTCAAACACTGTGTAAATATGTTATATAATGAATATTCTGAAATTATGAATGAACAATTCATAATTAGTTCAAATGATTTGTTAAATCAGCTGTTCAATACAAGATGATTTGCTGACCATCATAATGTGACCAAATGTGACCAATATTTTTTGTAAGGCTGTACTTAAGCAAATCACCTCACAGCATATGGGGGTCCGTAGCCCCCCTCCCGTGTGAGGTCCTATATAAGACTTTGAGCCTGAACTGCCCCTCAGCGAACAGCGCACGAAGAAGGTGCGGGGCAGGCCCCACACCACCACATCCTAGCAACAGGGAACAAAGGCCCTAGAGACAGCAGCCAAGACAACCAACAGGAACCCAGAGGGCCCCGGAGGGAAAAAGGCCAAGGAAAACCACCAAGCAACGGCGAGCCGAAGGACACAAGGAGCCCAACGGCCAGCCAAGGCACAAAGGCCAAGCAAGCGAGCAAAAGCCGATTGGGGGAAGGGCACGAGCAGCCCATCCACCAACCGGGACAGCAGCGACCAAGCAAACACAAGCCGACACGGAGGCATAAAGGCAAAGAAAGCCCAAATGCCAACCGACACCAACCCAAAACAAGCCAAGCGAGAACCAAGCCAAGGACAGACAAGCATCAATCCGAATGAACATGCGACCAAAGAGAAGTTTGGACATGAACAAGCCAAGATTGGACAAGCATACTGTTGACATCCGAGCCAGCCACAGCCCACCCAAAACGAGACGATAACATTTCGCCAGGTTTGGGGGGAATGGTGACATCATGAGGCCGACAAGGGCAACACCAAGCAATATGGTCAAAAGTGCCCAACGCCGTACAGCCAGGCCAAATGCAAGAAGTGGCAACCTCTTCAATACGATTCTGAAGGGCAGCAGGCGAAAAGGAAGCGCCAGTGCTTATCGCCCGAGCTGCAGGACCCGAAGCACAAAAAGCACGCGTATAGCCTTCCAATCGATCCGAGAGAAGTAACCATGCACACCAAAGCAGTCAAGATCAGCATCCCTGCGCCCGGAAGACATGTGACGCTGCAAACACCAAGCGCGCCAAGCTTGACGCACCTCATGCTGCCGAGCACCAGCATCCTGAAGCACAGTAAAATCCAAGGAACAACCAGACGGATCATGATGCCATGTCCATTCATCAATGAACGTCCAGCCATGGTCACGCAACCAAACAGAGAGAGCCTTAGCGGGCGAACCCACCGACGTAGACCAGGTCAAAGTGCGAGAACGCAGCA